CCGCCCGCGCGGCGCGGCTCCCTCTGGCGCGGTTGAAGATCCGCGCCCAGCTAAAGCGCCGCTCGCCGCGGAGGGCGGCGCCCGCGCCGCGCAGGGGCGGGGAGAGCCACCGCCCGGCCAATGAGAAGAGGGCAGGGGCCGGGCCGCGCGTGCGGCCGGCGGCCGCCCGTTGGCGCCGTGCCTCGCGCTCGCCCCGCCTCCCCTTCCAGCCCGCGCGCGAGGGGGTGGGGGGGAGAGGGGCGGCGCCACATAGTTGAGAGAGGGCGAAACGGGCCCTAACGGTCGCCCCGCGTGGGCGGCGGGAACCGCCCCGCGCCCCTGAGGGGAAGACGTGTCCCCTTTGGCACATGGGAGGCCCCTCCGGCTGCCAGGGCTGCGGTTTGTTCCCCGAGCAACACAGGGAACAGCGAGGGTGCATAGAAAGATGGTTTTATTGGATTTACCCAAACATTGTAATTACAATAAGGCATTTTCGGTGCTGATTAAGTCAAAAGCATAAATCAAACTTCCCCCTATAATGTGCACTTACTGCCCAGGACACATATGTACACAGAGGCTGCTCTTTTCTGGCGTATGCCATTAAGAGTATTCTTCTACACTAATAAATTGGACGGAATCAAAAGTTTCACCTTCAGTAGAGTGTTATTTGACCAGTAAAAGGTCACATCCCGACCTCTTTTAATAGTTTTTTTTTTCTCCTCCTTATTTGTTAAGAAAGTGGTTATGTTAAGAGAGTGTTTGAAATTTGAGGGTTGGATTTAATAAAATAACATTAAATTAGAAACATTCATCTATCAATAATATTTCAAATTATCCTCTTTACCTGAACACATGAGATTAGACATCATTAGATTGCCCACCAACATAGTCCACTAAATATCAGAAGTGCTGTATATGACCAAATTCATGTTGTATACTACCACTTTCCTAATAACTGTTTTAAACTACTTCATCTCTTCCTTCAAAGAGTAAAATACACCATGTCTCTTCTACTTACATTCTTGTGCCTGACTTTACTCCATCTATTAATGTGAAAGGAGGTGGGAATATTCTCCAAAGTCGTTATGTGCCCCTAATTGTCACTGACAATGTCTCTAGCAATAAGCTCTTTCATTATTTCATTGGTACCACCGTAGATTGGTTGAACACGGGAATCCGCAAAAGCTCTGAGAGAAAGAAGAAAAAAAAAAGAAGAAAGATTAAAAAGAGACTTCCCTGAAGATATGTATAGCCAAAACGAAAGATAAAGTCCTCAGTTCTGGAGATCCCTCTTTCTGAAGTACATTATGCTTCTGAGTACAAAGTTACATCTCTAATATGGTACTTAGATAGCTTCAGAAATTAATCTGGTCTGCTGTTTTGATTTTGTGTCTGACCATGTCCTGCTGCCATAGCTCAACACTGAACAAAAAGCATACCACTTATTTTAGAGAACTATGTGCATTAGGACTGATTTGGCAATTGTGAAAAAAATTGCAGGATCTTGCTCTAAAGGAACAATGGTACACATCAGAATTAGGTTTCAGTAGTGTGTTCAGTAAAAGATTGTACACCAGTATTGCGCAGTGTAAAGGGAGAAGCTAATTCAATTTGACACAAGTTGAAAAAAAAGTTGTTAAAATTTTTAATCAATATTTAATCAACTTTATTCAATTATTTTAAAAAACACTGCAAGAGGAGTAAAAAATAAAATTTGGACATTTAAGTCTAGTGAAATACATAACCTCATCAGCTTAACTCTTCACTACCGTTTGTGAACCTTTTATTCCACATCCAGGAGGGCACTACAACATCAACTTTTTTTTTGATAAACACTGCTTTTTAAAAAAAAGTTAAGAAAAAAATCACAATGCAAGGCTACAATTAAGATCTTATTTACATAATTTTCCTATGGTATCTAATATACCAGTAGGAACACTTACTTTAGCACACTTTTGATGAGTGCGCACATTTTCCCCCCTCCTCCAAAGAAGCTTTCAGCCACTGATGACTAAACAAGCTTCAGCTGGTTCCAGGTTTGAGCAGGTATCAACTCCAGCCCTACTTGGCCTAGGAGTTCCCAGGCAACAGCCAGAGGGACAAAAAAATTACCATCTGCAAACTTGAGCTGGCCACAGTGCACACACGGCTGGTGACAGCCTGCAGAATGGCAGTGTTCAGGTTCATCTTAATTCCGCTCCTGTGTACAGGTAGAGCAGCCCAAGAGCAACACTGCACTCTCAGGAAACATATGCTGCAGAGCTGTGGGGAAATAACTGAAGTCCCTAGGGACAAATGCTGCACATAAGAGGCAGGAGAGGTTCCAAGACTCCCCATCCAGGGCTTGCTGGCTTTTCTGTTATTAGTAGGATGGGTACAGAACATTCAAAAATGTGTTTGATAGAAGTAGATAGAAAAAGTTATTGTAGAGCATCATTTAATACTTCAGATGTATTTAGAATAGTCAATCTGAAGCTACTCAGTTCTAAAAATGTGTACACAACACCCATGTTAACTGCCAATGATCCTCTTTGTGATTTGTACTGTCAGATGTAATCCTTTTTGAAAGGAAAGCCTTACCTATGTTACTGTGGCAATGGCATGTACACAAAGAAAAAAATAATCTTACTACAGGAAAATATAAAAAACATGAAAATGCTTTGAAGTACTAAAAAAAAGCAAATCTCTGATCTCTCCTAGTTCTTCCATTTAAAGAGGTCTAAAAATCTGAATGCAACCTCTCAGGCTCTTGATTAAACAATTTATTATTTTGTAGTACTACAAAACCCCTTAGGGGGGCCACAAAGTTTTCTTTCTCTGACACGATAGCATTAATACACAAACTAGCTTTGTTCATTTGTTTTGACAACTTCTGTTTAATCATTTTTCCCTCCTCTTAAAAAAAGCCTTTTTAGTTTGAAAAAAACAGGTAGAAATTGCTCAATAACTTATGGATTATTCACAGAACTAAATCTGAGCCTTGCTGCAGACATCTGTAGAGTGGATTGCCTTTCAATTAACATGATGAGAAAAAGAACAGTAAATCAGCCCTACACAAAACAAGTGGCAAACAGACATAAAGGAAGTGCCTTGTTTTAACTTTGTTCATAATCTTTCATTATTCAAGTCTGAAATATTGCACTTACTTTGCAATTGGATACTCCCACATGTAGCCACATCCTCCATGCAGTTGTACACACTGGGTCGCCACGCTGTTCTGGAGATCAGAAGCCCTTGAATGGTCAAAAAGAAGAAATTAAATACATGCTCCGAAAATATTAAGAGATATGGACAGGTTAGTAAGGCAAAAACATAACTATCAGACCTTCCTCTACAAAATTAATCTAAAAAAGTAAGGCATTGAAGTAGTACATATTGTGAGAGCTTTTCTTCTTCCTACAGGAGTGGTAAAAAAAATAATGCATCAAAGTGAACAGTACTGAAGATCTGTTCCTATTATAGAAGAGCTTTCAGAAAAGAAAAGCTTTCAAAATAGACAACGCTCTGTGCTTTTCTAACAAGCCCATATGTGCCTAGAGATTTCTTTCATAAAGTAGGTTGCTGGGGTTTTATTTATTTTTTAAATCAAATCCTTCAGTCACATCATAAAAATCATCCATGTCACAGACTTCCCGCCCCAGCCCCCATGAGCAACACATCAAGATGCTCTGTGAATACAACAGCTATCTGGGGGCACTGTACTCTTCAGGATGTTTTACAGTTTTTTTCTAACAAAATATTGCAATTCTTAAACAGGATTGTTTATGGCAAAACATTCTATTTTTCTTTTCACTTTGTTTTGTGCACCATCCCTCCAGAATTTGGCAGAGAGTCATTTACGGCTTGTTTCCTGCATCTGAGCTTTTGGAAATCTACACAGAATCATAGAACGCTCAAGGTTGGAAAGGACCTCAGAGGTCATCTAGTCCAACCCCCCTGCACACGCAGGGTCACCCAGAGCACGTGGCACAGGGCTGCATCCAAGCGGGTTTTAAAGATCTCCAAAGAAGGAGACTCACACAGGAGACACATTAGCTGCTACTTCAAACACTCAAGTGAAAGAACCCAAAGGATATTCACTGCACTGTTAAGTTCAAGTTCATGTTAAGAGACATGAAGAAACACTTCCAAGCATACAACATTTGTAGAGTGGCAAAAAAAGGTCAAGAAGACCACAAAGCACTTGCTTCCAGTAGCTATTACCACAAAACAGAAAGCTACAGACCCTCATTAGAGATCAGTAAAGAGATGCATCAACTGCATTTTAAAATATTTCAAACCTCCACTCTCGCAGGCCACTGACTGTACAACTTTAAGCAAAAGGCTTTAAGCAAAATTGACTAGGGGCGGTCTCCTGAAACATTCAGGAAAAAAGCACTTCTTCAGTCGGGCATTTTAATATGTCTAGGAGAGTTTTATAGAAGAGTGCCACAGGAACTCCATTATGGGAAAGGGCAAATCCACAACAAACTGAGCACTAGTATTTGGGAGGGTAGGAAAGTTTCCAATTCCTCACTTTGCAAAAAGTCTGTTGAGGAAGTAGGTTTCTGAGCTGGCACTAGCTGTTTCCTCCTCCTCAAAAGTGAATGCCTCTGCTTTGCTTACGTACCTGGTACGCCTAGGTAGCCAGTGCCAGGAATATCACTCAATCTAAATTCCTCCTTTCATTGCAAATACTCTCCCTAGATTCCCTTGGTATTTTCAAAGTATTTCCTCTGTCCTTATTTTAGGAAGCTTTATGCTGGTCTAGAATTTGTAGAGTTGTGGATCTTTCATAAAATTACTTGTTTTTGTTTGATTTGCATTTCCCCTCCCCGTCTCTGCAAGCATAGAAAAATAATCTTGTGCCAAATTCACAGGCTGCATCTTAGGTGCATCTTCCCAACTGGTTAAACGCAGGTTAACAGATAAGACTACCAGGCATTGGGAGGAGTTCTGGCCAATAAAGCAAAGAATTGTTTGGTTTCAATTACAGCAATAGCTGTAGCCAACTATTTCTTCCTGAAACTGGATATCTTCAGAGATTCTCCAGGCTGTAGAGCTATTGCTAAGCAATGTTAAATAAAATGCATTCTGTATCTTCCGGGTTTCCAATCAACCAGGGGTTTGTTTTGCTTTAAAGATTTGTCACGGTAATGTGCAAACATCTTTCTAAACCAATGAAATGTTCAATTTTAATTGAAGCTAAAGTCAAGACCCAATCTTACCCCATCTTAAAAGCATGCAGTTACCTTGAAATCGATCTGATTAACTAACACGGGTTTGCAGTGTAACTGTTTAAGACTTATTGACTACATGACTAAAGTTTCAGCTAATGGAGCCTATCAGAAGCTGACAATTTAATTATTAATCACACTGTAATTTTAGCTTTTCATCAATTCTGGAGAGTTCAGAGTTTTTACTATTAGGCTTCTGTTTACTATTAGACAAGAAACACTTTCAAGTTACTTCAACCACATACCAATACTTTGCCATGGAAGCTGTGCCTGTGTCCAGACGTTTATCCGCATGCAGCTGCAAACAGTTGTCCACAAAAGCTCGGCCAATGCAAATCTGTGTCTTAATTTCTGCCAGCTTGTGCTGAACCGTCTTATTTGGGAGGCGGATGGAGGAGCCAGAGGAAAAGAAAGCAGAAGTTGTGGTGTTTTTAGAGAATATTTCAAGGGGAAAAAAAAAAAAAAAAAAAAAGCATTTTCTACAGTGATTTTGACAAGATGAAGCCTACTTCATAAGTCACATTATTCACAAAAATTACATCTGCCCAGTTAAAACAACATATTTCAAACAACTTCAGTTCTAAACAGCGGAGCAAAGCCTACTGGCATACAATTATGTCTTTAACATTCTTATTAAAGAAAATTATGTCCTTCAATTCTTAAAACCATCTCAAAACATGACCTCATGAAAATACCCCCAGCAGACCCCGCAAATTCCTAGACAGCACAGAATATGAGCCATTGGTTACCTTGCTGCCTTGTGCTCCCTCTGGTGGGGAAATAATAAACTAGGGAAATTACTGGCTCTGCAGAATGAAAGATTATCATTTCATAATGCCTATTTTGTATGCATACAGTGTTTCACAGTTTGAGATTCAAAATGCATGCATGTAACAAAAAAGGAGGAAATTTTAGACTATCAGAAAGTTTCCAACATTGAGGTCTATTAAGAGTGCTTCTAGTCAGAAAAAATAAAATATCACAAAAGCTAAGAAAAAAACTAAGAAAAATTGTAATTTCTCTTGTTGCTCTTGTAATTTCATCCCTGGAGGAAGGGGATAAGAATGCAATCCAGTAAAGTCTCTTCTGAGCTCCTAGTCCTAAAATCCCATATAGGGAGTGTTCTTATTTCCTTTGACCAACTGATGTAATCAGCCAGTCTGCTATTACAAAGACTGATTTCAAACACTCTACTGTGGCAGGGCTAATGAATCATGGCTAAATAAATCAGGCAAGACAGAGCTCTAATTAGAAAGGAGACAACTTTTGACTACACGCACATCTCATTAGTCAGCAACAAAGGGACACTGAAACGGTATACCAGGATCAACTCGGTGTGGCAAAACTGTATTTTGGGACATCGGTTGTCTTTTGGATGGTGGTGGGTTAGCCTCAAAAAGGAGAGTATTTTGGAGGCCTCTGCTAATGAGCTACAGTCAGTAAAATGCACACATCTACATGAACAAGATCATAACATATTTCTTTAGTGTTAGGTGGCACGCTGTACAAATTTCATCTCAAATTACGCATTTCTAAATTTGGACTTTAAAAAGAGGGGTGAAAAATCTTTATTACCTGAAAGAAACTTATCATTCCAGCCTCTGAAGTCACATTTCTGCTCCCGCTCACAATTACAGATTTGATTTCAAAAGTCTTAGAACATAACTTTTTGTTCGACTTCAAGAGCGATTATGTTCAGAGAACCCACAGGTTTTATATGCAGCCCCTTAAGCGCCCAGCTACCTGGCAGCTGGGGAATCTCACTGCAAATAAACACGAACAAGGACAACAAGGTCGCTGCCTGGGAACCCTGACAGACACCAGTCTCGGAGCTCGAGTTTCGCAGCACATGATGTGCAGAGGGACTCCGTGCCTGCACACACGCCAAACCTCTCCAGAGGCCAAGGAGCTCTGCTCAGCTCCAGAAACACACACAGGTCTAACATTCCCGTGACCTGGGCCTCAGGTTGTATCCCACACACAAATGGGAAACACAAGGGCACACCGAGAACTACCTGCAAGTTCAAACTCACCTGCAAGTGGGCAATAGTCTTCCCGAAAGCTTTTCTTTGCCTCACATAATCCCTTGTTTCTTCAAACATGAATTCACAGCTGGCAAGAGCCATATCAGAAATCAACAGTCTTTCCTTTCAAAACAGAAATTACAGAATCCAACAGAATTAGTTCTACATTCCTCTGCATCTGGTGCATAAATGTACACACACAACTGGGAAACAACTGGGAAACAAATGTTCTATGTTGTTCATTAAGGGTGCAAAGCAGAAGTAATACTACATATCAAAACAGACACTCCATTACTAAAATTATTGGAATTTGTCTTGATTTACAATGCCCAAAGCCCACTTTTAAGGCTTTTTTGGGTTATGTTCTCAAGTTTTATTAAGCTAGAGGTATTTTAATAAAAATCAACTGCAGGACTTCTACTCACTGATTGATACATTTACATCAAACTCTTCTTCAATTATTGATTTTCACTACTCATAAAAACAAAATTGTATTTAACAATTTCAGTAGAACATTCCCAGAAAAAAATCCCAAACTAAAAACATATATTTTTTTTCTTCTTCTTCTTAGAACACTAAGAAGAACTAGAACACTAAGTTGAAACTATTCATGAGTAGTGCCCTTTTTTTTTAAATAAGAGTAGGGAAATGTTTACTGTCAAAGAACAAAGTAATAAAGCAATCTCGCAAGCTGAAGGTTTCATGATGAGGTTTCTTATTTGCTGGAGTATAAAGTTAAACATACGTTCACCAGATCTGGCAGATACAAAGTCACAATTTTATCAACACACAGCGACATTCTGAAAAACCTATGGTTCTTCTTCATCCTCCTAATTCACTCCAAAATTTATTCTGTTGCAAAAAGCGCTATTTCCACTAGCAAGGTATTTTGACAACTAGGTTTCTATTTCAATTCTGCTATTTGGATAAAAAAAATCTTTATTATATTTTTAAATTGCTAGAATAGCAGTGCTCGCTTCTTTCTTTCAAGAGAAAGCTGTGCTAGGGGCTGCTTTCACTCAGTTGAAAAGCAGCAGTAACAACAGGCTGTTGCTCATAGGCATCCTGTTTCTGAGCCCAAGGAGGCTCAACATGATGCATAATCTCCAAGATAAAGACAGACCCTTGCAATGGAGAAAAAACAAAGTTTTCTGTGATCTTCCCACTACTGACAAAGGCTTATGTTTGTTCCTCTCACCTGAGGGAGTTCTGCCATCAGATAATAGAAACCCTTGTTCTCTTTCCCAAGCAAGGCACTGGCTGGTAGTCGCACATCTTCAAAAAACAGCTCTGCTGTATCCTAAGGGGATTTAAGAAACACACGGTTTACAGCCTGGCAATCTCACCTCTTCATTCCACTACGTTTTCACTGTTCTCTTGCTAGTGTATTCTTTATGTTGGAAGTGTCCTCCAGAAGTCATCTAGCCTACCTCCTACACATGCAGCAGAGCAGACAGCTAAGAGCTAACGTGTCCAGTCACATTTTCCATTGGCTGGAGACTCCACAGGACCTCAGGACCTGGATGAGATCCTGAGGACCTCAGCCACGTTCGCAGCACCTCATCCAGAACCTCATCTCAGCATCTGATCATCTTTATTGTGAGATTCTTTTCTTCCCACAATGTCTACTCAGATTTTTCCTTCATACAACTTGTGTCCCCTGCCTCTCTGCTTTTCACTGTGCACCTCCAAGAAGAATCTGCCTCCACGCTCTCCAAAATCAGTCATTAGTTAGGTACTTGAAGACAGTATGATCCTTGTCCTTTCAGGCTTCTCCAGACTGAACAAACCCAGCTCCCTTAGCCTCTCTTCCTACACTATGTACTCCAGACCCCCACAAAACATTCTCAGGATACATTCCTCGCTATGAGTCCTGCTCATTTCCTAAATAAGGGGCAAAACCAATTCCACTTCAGCTTTATTGTGCTGACTCCAGGTATTAAGTGCTTTTGGACCATGTCCAAGTCTGCTAGATGTTAAAGGTCACATGAACTTACCTGGGCTTTCAGGCCTATTTTTTCCAGCTTGCGTCCTTTGACGAAACCTTTTGTTCCATTTTCCACCAGAAAAAGGCTGATCCCATGAGCAGGGGTTGTGGCCTCACGGTTTGTAACTGCAACCACAATCACTACATCACACATCCAACCATTCGTGATGAACATCTATAAAAACAAAATGGAATAAAGCAACAAGACAGCTGGAAACAAGAAATGATAAAGCAACAGAAGGAGAATCAGCATGAATACTTTTAGAAGTGAATTAATGATGCAAGCTTTAAGCATCCAAGATTTTAAGTATTTTAAGAAGTTAGAAAAAGTGTTCTGAAGCAAGATCTATTAAAATACAAATTGGTTCAATCAGCATTGTGTCAGAAACATGACATTAAAGAATGCACGAGTGTTACTTTTGTTTGTCCCATAAAAAAAAAAAGAAAAATGAAAGAAAGAGTACGTGGTATCAAATGTACACATCAGATTAATGCAGATGGTCTGTTTCCCAGAAGTGTGGGAGGTATAAATGGAAAACTATGGGTGGCTTCCTGATGATGGCTTCCTGTCAGGACCGCTCACTAACTCTGTAGTACAATCCATCCATGTGCCTGTAACACTTTAGAACAGGTATGAGTGTGTCTCAAAGTGCACGTTAGAGAAGAGATGATTACAAATCAGAGCTTCACCACACTCGACAGACTAAACAGAAACAAGAGACAAATCGCAACAGGAATCCTAACTCTGCCAAAAGAAATAAACAATCTGTCTTGATTTGCTTTAGCAAGGCAACATAAGCAAGTGCCCTTTTAAACACATATGTACATATTTGCTTACACACATTCTCAGAACTTGAAATTCTGCTAAGGCCAAAAGTCTCTACCAGTACCAAGTTCTCATTGAAACTACAAAAAAGAGAGGAAAGAGACGAAAACATTTGATAGCCTTGAAGCAATCTGTTGAACTCACACTTCCATTTCCACCTCACTTCTGCTTCTTTCTCTCTTATTATAGGAACAAACGGAAGCATTAGTGCTGCCAGCACGGCAACAGCTTGACAGCACATGCATAGCATATGATACAGGACTTCTTCTCCTAACTTCAACAGCAGGTTCCTGGATGACTATTTCACAAACTGTGTTATAACAACAGAAGCTCTTAATCTAGAGGATTTCTTATTGGAATAGTATATACCTTTTGCTGTTCCATCTCAGCACTGAGAAATAAGCTCAGTCCAGTTTATATTATGAAGATTCCTCCCATCCACAAGTCAAGAGAAAATAAAGTCTTTAGACAACGTTACTTAAAAGCTACAAAAAGATGCTGCTCAAGTCTTGCCATAAAATGGTCCATAAATCAGCAGCAGAAGTCCTAAAAATGTAACTGGTAAATAAAACAAAAAAGTGAAAGAATGGGGGGAGGGAGGAAATGGGTTGGGGAAGAAGTTGCTGACAGAGTACGTCCTTCACTGTGTAAGTGTATCTAGCTCCCAAAGCAAGCAGCTTTCACTTACCTTACTCCCATTAAGAATCCAGTCACTTCCATCTTTTTTTGCATATGTTCGTACCCCCTGCAAGTCACTAAAATGAGATTTTAAAGGTCCTTTAAGACACTATTAAAAAAGCAGCAATTTGTGTCTTAAATAGCACCAAATATAAAATAAGGTAGACTCTGAAGACTGTCATTAAGATATGCACTCAGTGAAAATACACAGCAAGATAATGAAATGCACCAAATGGCTGCAAGTTCAGCACAGAGATGAAAAGCACAGCATGTAAAGGGTTAATAAATCTCTGCAATGACACAAAAGCATGAGGACCCATTTAAATGCATCTGCGTGTGGGGATGGGGGCAACACAAGTACTGACTCAGGGGATGCTCACCCTTTGGTATCAGTATTCTTTAGAGCGCAAATGCCAGCCAAGGCTACAGCATACAAGCAGGCTCAGCCTTGAGGAGGGCACTCTGCAGAAAGGGACTGAAAACAGCCACTGTCTGTAGAAGCAGGACACCAGAGTTTTGCTAACCCATCCCACATATGTGCTGTCTGCCCTTCAGTAATGATGACAGATGAGGGAGATTCCTATGTGCAAAAGGTTTCAGGTAAAAGAAAATAGGCTGTTCTGTTCCACAATAAAAGCTAATACTGAAGATAAGCCCTCTTTACTGAGATATGTAATTTTCTTTTGAATACAACACTTCATATTAAAGTATGCACAATTCAGACTATAAAAACAAATACAAAGGTTTATTTGCCCAAAGTGGCATAATAAGGTTACTGCTTCTGAGCAAATATCTTGAAATGAAAAAACTGTAAAGCAATCTATAAATATCAATTGGTTTTGACATTCTATCCACCCTGGGATATTGTCTAGCCACAAAGGTAACTACAAAACTAGAATGCTTGGTTATTTAAATAAACAAGAAAAAGCACACAGTAGACAGCACATAATATTAAGACCATCTGTCTCTATTTTGAGCTTACCTGCCAGCCCCAGGTTCAGTCATTGCAATAGCTCCAATGCACTTGCCTTCAACCATGGGAGGGATAAAGCGTTTTATCTGTTCTTCAGAGCCATAGTTTGTAATGTAGGGCATGACTATATCTGAATGAAGGGCAAATCCTGGCCCAGTACAGTTAACATACATCCTTGCAGAATGGGAAGGGGAGGGAGAGAGAAAAAAATTCAGATAAAAGCACTAAAAAGGTAAAGTAATGAACTTTACACTGTTACAACATGACCCGATACTGGAGAAAACAACAACACAGAGGTCTCAGATTAATGATCTAAACTCGTGACATTTGTACTGTTGTTTATGAAATCCACTTCCACAGCGACGGCTGTACAACTGAGACTAAGGAAAAAGCTTCGTCAGCCACTAAGTCCTAACAATAGGACACAGACATTTATTAAACAATCATCTAAAATACTTGCAGGAAGAGGAATTCGCGTGTCTAAACTATCCTTTCCATTATAAGGATACTACTACTTTCTGTGAGGAAATTTGCTCTACATTAAGGAAATGATATAAAACAAAATACAGTCTCTTGATAGCATGGTAAGTAAAACTCCCCGAAGTTTCTAGTACTTACTGCTCTTCCCACACCACGGCTGAAGAGAGGATATCTGCTCCAATACCTCCATGTTTTTCGGCTATAGCAACGCCCAGCAGGCCTTGCTCTCCAGCCTTTTTCCAGAGCTCCTTGCTCACCTGGCCATCCTTCTCCCACCTGCAAAAAAGACAGGGGCACGCATGAAGTTCCCTGTGCACACACAACTATTTCTTGTTCCAGCTCAGGGGTGGCTTCTGTGCACAAGCACCAGCTGATACCAGCTCTCTGCTGTAAGGTGGTTTCAGGTTTGTAAACAGACAGATGAGGATGATCTCCTGACAGTTTGCAATTTTACATACCACAGGAGAACTCTTTATTCTCAGAAAAATGGTACATCCTTGCAGAGTTTGCTCACTCGTCAGAAAATGGCACAGCGTGGTTTTAATGAAAAATAAATAAACCACACACACTTTCAAATTATATGGTAGAAAAACTAGAGCAGACTCACTCCCCTGGCACAACCAGTAAGCAGCTGAGCTATGCCACAGCACTTAATCATGCCATGAATATTTAAGCTGTTATCCAAAGCTCCACCTACACTGGAAGCCTTCAGCAAAGCCTGGCTCATGACTCTTTGCCTTTCACCTATTTTCAGTGCTATCCCTGTCTCTGCTTCACCCACTGTCAATGCTGCTCTTCATTATAACCACTGGTGAATCACGGCTACATCTGCTTACACCACACTTCACAGCAGCCCAGCAGATATGTTACACCTCAAGTCTACCTGTTTAATTGAAAGGTGTGGGAATGAAACAGTTCAGAGGTCCCTACAGTGATGCAAGAACACAAGCTGAACTTGCTCCACTCTACACACACCTTGCTGAGCCAGTATCTACTCATAAACTGGACCAGAAGTAATGCAAACAGAAGATACAGGGAAAATCTCCGGTTTTGTGCACAGAAAACTTTTATACAGAGGAAAAGCTTTCTCCTTTGAGGTCACTGTTTAAGAATGAAACTGATAGTTGGCAGTTGGCAACCCCGATGTGAGTTGTTTCCATTGCCTCCTGCTGGTCATCTGCCCCTGAGCCCAAACACCCGGTCATCCACCCACTTGTACCACCTCAGCTGTTTGTGCATACCTGCTGGGAGTTCCATGGGGAAAACAATCTTGCAGCATGATTTAAGAATAAGCCCTTCTACACCCCACATATGCAGCACCCTTTTTTTTCAAGTAAAACAAGAAGAAAACTGCTTAAAGCTGCAGCTTAACACTTTGCATACGAATGAATACGTTCTGAGCAAGCTAAGCCCAATGTATTTTACCTACAACATTAGTAGATACAGATAAAATAAGAGCGAACCCTCCCAAGCTTCAGCTCAGTGGAAGTATGACACTTCTATGAAACAACCTGTGTAGACACTTCCACAGGAGACTTGCAAATGTAAACCATGTTATTTTGTGCAAGTTCCTCAACAACACACTATATAGTTAACAATTTTGTGCATATTGCATTTACAGTATTTGCTATAATGGAACTTAGACATGACGTGGGTTTTTCTTTTTTGATGACAATAGTTGCAGTAGAAGTACTGAAGCAGAACAACACGGTGACTAAACGGTCTTGTTAACTCTAATCAAACTTAATATATAAGCTCTGCAAATTGTGTTGCTCTTGCAAGGGCACCAGGTTGCCTTACAGTGAAGCTCAGAAGCATGCATTAAATCCTTTTTTTTCTTTCAGAAATGAGCTTCATGGGCAATTTAGTTTTAAACAAATCAGTTAAAGAGAAGTGTATAAATAGAAATAAATATATTCTTTAGCTTGCTATATTAAGAGTGAAAAGCATACAATTGGACAAAGGGTATGAAAGGCATCTTACTCTGCGTGAAAAGGTAGCACTTCCTCCTGGAAGAACTTCCTGACGCTCTCCCTGAAGATGTCATGATCAGAAGAGAAGATCCTTCGGGTGCCTATATCAGTTAAACGTTTAGAAGAGGAGGGCTCTTTGCGTTTCGCGCTGGATTGTTCAGTTTGCACAGCACTAGGGAAATAAAATAAGGGGGAAAAAAAAAGGCAGATCCTGTTAGGACACGTGTGTCCTGGTTGCAGTGACCTTTTTGGAGGACGGGATGTCTCCCTGCCCCGCGATGTGAACTATGCTCCACAATCCCCACGTGGCACCAAAGCCAGCGGACGCTCAGAGTGATCGCAAAGACAAAATTCACCTAACATTGCCCCAATCTCAGGAAAAAAATAAACTAAAATGAAGTTTTCAGATTGAGAATAGGTTATAAACAATACACACAAAGGGTTAAGGTTTCCCCTTTGCCAGAGGGGGAGTTCCTCTTTCCTCCACTATATATATATATATATATATATATATATATATACACACACACACGCATGTACATAATTATCACCACTTGACCCTTACTCCCCCAAACCCAAAACGCAATTTAGCATAAAAGCAAACTATTTTGACAGGTCTGGCCCCTGGGGTGTTTTCTACTTAATTCACCCATACCCAACCCCCACATCCCAATTTCCTAACGCTACAAATGCGTCATACAACCCTAACCTTGAAAATAACACTTTCTAAAGAAAGATTTTGGTAAAAATAAAATAAAACGACCCCATCACCGGCTCCCTCTTCCCCGCTACCTGCCGGCCGCAGAGCCCAACGGCACCGCGACAGGAGCCAAGAGCGGCCTAACCCGCGCCCAACCTCGGCCGGCGCGCGTTTAAACGCCCCCCGAACACACAGACACCGCGCGGAGGGGCCAAACGCCCACGCGTGCGCGCGGCCCCGCAGTACCTGGGCTGCACCGACAAGCGCCGCGAACCGCCAAAACGCAGGAGCCCACGCAACGGGAGCAGCCGCGCCGCCATCTTGTGCCGCAGGCTGCGCGCGGGCGGCGCCGGGCGCCGTTTTGGGCGTTACCGGGCGTTTTCGGGGGGTGGGACAGCGCCGGGGGGCGGGAAGCGGCGCCTGCAGGACCAGAGGCGGGGATTTAGTTTGATGCTGCTTTCCAGACAAATGGTGGCTCCGCCTGGGTGGTGGCGGAGGGGGAGTTGCTTAGGCGTCGCCTCCAGGTCGGGAGGTGACACGATGTTAGGGCGAAGAGGAAATTTTAATTCTAAAAAGAAGCACATCGTTATTTCATAAAATAAAATAAAAATAAATAAAATAAAATAAAATAAAATAAATAAAATAAAATAAAATAAATTCCATTCCAAAGCTGGCGCTGCAGTTTCCTGGAAGGGCAGTCACAGGGGACCCACCGATGAGCTCTTTTCCCCGATCCTATGTGTGTTTCAAGGCACAGTGGTATTTTTCGTGATATTTTTCCGGAACGCACCCGTTTCGGTGCCTGCCATTGTCCCTGCGGCGCCCGCGCCAGGAGGTGGCACTGCAGGAACGGCTGTGGCGCGCGACGCGCTCCCGTCCCTATGGACGGGAGCGTTTTTAGTGCGACATCAAGGCTTTTCAACGCGACCCCCCGTTTCATATCGGCTTGGCTCAACTTTTGAATTATTTCCAGCGTTTATAGTTGGTTTCCGCAGCTGGAGGCGACCCACATTCCCTTCAGCACCTGCTTTGTGGGCAGCGATGTCTGACGTGCCCGTGGCAGTGGGTGCCACTGAGGTGTTCTCTTTGCTGAGGAAATGCACGTGGCCTTGCATGAAGCCAAGACAAGAGAGCTGAGGGTCACCTGGAGAAAGTGCCCAAGTGCAGCTCTGTGGGCAAATGGGTTGAAATTAATTTTTTCCCCTTTTTTTTTTTGCTCCAACTTACTCCCATTGTTCATCTCAGAAGTTGCTCTTCTGCAGACTTGAGGACTGAACACTTAAGTATATTCAGACCAGAACAGCTGTATCAGATGAATTATCTTGTATCATCATTATTTGGAAGAGTTATTCCTTTCTGATCTTCATTTCCTCTGCGTGAAAGAAATCACAAGTGAATCCCATCGCACACACATTTTATGTCAAATAAATCATCTATCACTCCATAGATACTCCTGAGGCAGCACATCAGCAGTTTTGTTCATTTATTTATTTATTTTTATTAGCTGTTACATTTGCAGCAGGGTATATTGCTGTGTGAGGATGTTCTGCAAGGGGAGGAGTGTTCACTTTGGCGCTGGTAACCGATGACTTCACGTGGAAAACTACAAGCTAACGCAGCCCTTCAATGCTAATGCCCAGGTTGCTCACTTTTGTTTGGCTGTGTGGATTTTTGTTGTTATTTGGGGGATTTTTTTGGTGGTACTCTGTCTGTGCCATTGGCTCGTGGCTTTTCAGTCATTTTTGCTCTCTGAGTTACAGCTTTTCCGAGTGGGGGAACTGCTCAGAGGCATGTTCTAGCCTGGCAAGCCATTCAAAAGCGACTCCCTGACAGCTGGTACATACTGCGTACAAGCCCTGAAGGTGATTTCTGCCAGATGGCCCAGGCTGTCAACATATTTGGATAATAGAAGCTCTTTTGAAGAGCTTTGCTTCTGTGTTTTCCTCTGTCTCGCTGCATGCGTTGGCGGAGCTGTCAGTGAAGCCAGGCTGCAGGATTTGACAGCAAGCTTTGAAAACACAGCGAGGTCCAGCACTGACCCCTCTCACAAAGCTCTGCACTCACTTTTTAAACTCCCAGTCTCTGTTGATGAGACAGCGTTCAAGTATTCATCTCTGGTATGAAGAGTCGAGGGGTTTGGTTTCTGAGTGTGTTATTTTCAGCTTGTGTGCAGTCCTTTCTCAAGAAGAACCTAGGTGCTGATTGAGCACGTCTGACCACCACAGGACCTGCACGGTCTTCATCCAGCATTTCTAAGCTGCCATCCTAGTGCAGGGTGAGCTTGAAGAAGAAGATGCAGAGCTCTCCGCTTACGTCTGTGTCGGTACGGGAGTCTCCTCAGTGTCCTTTGCACAGGGTCATGCGATCCCATGGCAGGGAGCATTCCCAGTGAAGGCAGAAGTTACAGACTGAAGGTGTCTTGGTTTCAGCTGTAGGGAGAATTAGTTACATTTGGTATCAAATAAGGAAGCTTCCACTACCAGGGTTGTTCATCAGTCTTTATTCACCTTAGTAAGTGCTAAATGCTATAAATGTCCTCAAATAGGGCCCTGAAGACTTCAGAGTTTCAGCCAAGTTTGTCCTTGCTCAGAGCTGTTGTGCTACATAAATTGGTCACAGGCTGCTAGGAATATACTTGGCTGTCAGGTAACACAACCAGAGCAGAAGCTGGTGAATATAAAAGGCACATTGCAATTTTCCCTGAACAAAGCAGAGACTGATATGTGAATTTTGCCTTGCTAGAGGTTGGAAGGGTGTTTGTCATCCGAAACAGACCTGTGCAAATATGTCATCATCTCCCAAAAGAAGCCTGATGAGTCTATTCCCTATATGTTCTTTTAGGATTGTATTTATTTAAGAATAAAAATACACTTTTGTGCTTGTTAAATCAGAATCAAAACAAGTGGCATTCTGTGTTGTGTTAATAAGCACTTACAGTAACATTTTTAAGAGTTACTTTTCAAGCAGTATTGATGCTGCTTACTTATGATGAGACTTTATCTTCAATATTTGTTTAGGATTTGAGCGAGTACTGATCCATTTGGCTGATTTAATGGAATCCAAATGAACGCTAACACAGAAATCAATCTTTGTGAACCACTCTTTCTTTACATACGACAAGTAACTTGGATGCTGGTGTTCCCTAATTCTGAATTCCATAGCTTTTCCACTCATTTAACGTTGCTTTCTGAGAATAGAGTATGCATGTATTGTTTCAGCTATTTTTTTTCCAATTAACAGTCACTGAGGGATTAGGCTCTATAGCTTCTAATGAGCTAATCAGCATTTCTTCCTCAGGTCTTCAGCTGAAATCCATCCTGACACAGGCATTAATCAAAACCGTTCTCTTTCAGCTCAGTGTTAGTGCTTGCTGTGCAATGAGTTTGAGAGGCCTCAGCTTCAGGTCTCCTTTTCTCAGCAGATTCCCATGTTTAGCACTAATTGCCCTAGACGCAGAGGCCAGGAGTTGTCAATTAGCTGAGGAGCAGGAGTTATCAATTAGCTGAGGAGCAAGGCTCTCCCTTCATAGGTCCTGGTCCAGGCACTATAGCAGTGCCTGTGCTTGGGGAAGGTGGTGCTGTTGTTTGTGCTGGGCTTGCTGCAGCTTTTGAGTTTGGGTGAGCTGAAATTATAGCTGATTTTTATTCCCTGGGAATGGGTAAGAAATGCCACAGTTGATGTCAGTCTTCCTTTCTATGAAATGCATATGGGCTTGGACAACTGGGGAACAGAGAGGTAGCCTTGCAAGTATTAAACAAATGTATTGTCTGTTAAAAGGCAAACTTGTTTAAAAGCAAACTTAACTGTTCAGGCATTTGAGAGTGTTATAACTGAGAAACTCTGAACTAATGCTCTAACTAACTAACTCTGAACTTTTAGACTAATGATGCTGTTAGTAAGTATTCTTTGTAAGGGGAAGAAGGTGTTGAAAAACACTAGTATTTGGTGCAGTATAAAGTAAAACTGGTTCAATTTTTGTTTCCCAAAGCCTCTCTTTTGAGCAAGCTACCTGGATAGTTAATCTTTGAAAAGATAAGAGCAGGAACCGTATTTTGGTTTTATTTTTCTATTTGGGTAGAGCTGAATGTTGCAGTCCAAGGGGTCAGTGTAAAGTACCCATCTTTCCCAGGAGTAGCATGTGCATATGATGAGTTAACCTATGTAATGTTCATGTTGTTCTTGTATCTATCATGTTGTTCTAAGTATCTAAATGATACTTAATGATAGATGCTTATGCTCCCTACAACTAGACTGTAGGAAGCAGTTATTTCCCCTACTTGGAAAAGGTGTGGCTTTCTGTTCCTTCTGCAAGGACTTTCAGGAATTACTGGAGCTTTCCTACCCTGGCCTTTGGGAAGAGTTCAGCTGTTGACAGGTGAGACCCTTGGGAAGGGGAATTTCCTCTGGGGGGAAAAGACCTTTTAGGAATTCTGAAGACCAGTCACTCTGGCAAACAACCTTGAAACTTCATTTGTTTTCTTTGAGAATGGATTCTCTAAACTGTTTTGTATTTTAATTGAGGTAGATGGCTATTTCTTTTCTAGCATAGTCATTTTAAGGCCTCTTTCTCTCATAACTTCTTGCAAGGTCTTTAAAACAGATCCAGAGATGCTGTGAGGCCTCTTGTGAAACATTTAATGATGTGCAGCCTCCCTAGACACCTTCAATTTACTGCAGGGTGCATGTGGGTTATGTTCTTATCGCTTGCTAATTAGCTAAGTTGTGGGAAGCTAAATACCCTCATCCTCAGATGAGCTGTGAGTAGACATCGTTGCTGTCATATTCCTTTGAAGCAGATGCAAAGAAGACAAAAGGAGGACACAGTCAATAAGGTTTTTGAAATAATGAAAGTCTTATTTCAGGGTTATGGTCTCTGCTATGCAGAAGTTTTCACAGGAGGCAGTTATGCCTGACTGCAGGTTTTTTGTCAGCATTTCCCCATTCTTAATTAAGTTAATTGTCCTCTGCCATGTGCTGCAATGCGGCCCCCAGATGTAGTGTAGTCCCTTTTGGTGTCTGGTATACAACAAGGAGGTGAGGAAGGAAAGGGTTATTTCATGGGCTGTTTTCTGTATGAAAATCGAGGAGAAATCCTGCAGGCAGCAGTGGGGAACCTGCCTAGGGAGTCACTGCAGGGTGCCACCTGTGTCCTTGGCCTGCTGGAGACCTTGTACTTTTCCCCTTGAAGTGCTCATTTCCTCTTATCAGACCATAAAGAGGCCAAGTGAGATTCAATGAGCATTGGTGAGGGTGGGAAAGACTAGAGTTCACCTGGGACTGTGTCCTTGACTCAGTGACACTTCCCCAGGCCTAAATGCCCTTCATCGGGGGAACATTGTGCACCCTTAAAGATATAACCAATATGCATGAACTTGAAAGATCCAGTAAAAATATATTTGCTTTAAAATATAATTACAATTACTCATCATGGCTATTTCTTTTAATCAGTGTGAATAGTCACTCTTGTAATGCTCTTCATGCTGTATGTGAGGAGAAAATGCACTTTATTGCTTTTTATTATTCTCCTTCATTGACTGCTCAGTGCAGAGCTTTTCCATAGTGTTAGCAATGGCCTTTCTGCTGTCACAAACAGGTTGATTTAGGAGCTGCTGCCCATCATTGTTACATCGATAGAGAAATGTTTGAGCTAATCTATACCACCCTCTCAAACCATAGATTTTGTTAATGGAAAGTTCGGTTTAATGCTGTAGTAAACTGTGGCCTGAGAGGTACTGGGTTTATTATTCTGGAAGGCTGCTGCGAGAGTGAAATATTAGGTTTTTGGCAATATTTCAGGCCTCATTCTGAAATAAATGCTAATGTCTGGCTAAATGAACAGTATTGCATATTTTTCATCATAAAATAAATGAAAAATAGCTTACTAAGGAAGCAGCCTTAACCCATTGGACACTTGAACACTCTTCTCTATTTTTGTAAATAGAGTGCAAGAAGGATGCAAGGAACAGCAAGGTACTAATTAGAAGCCTGTTTGAGCCTGCCATGTCAAAACCTGGGATTTAACTGAAAATCTGCTAAAATGGAGCAATTACTCTTGCAGCAGTGGTATGAGCTCCCTTAGGAAGGGGCTTTAGCAGATCTGTGACTGAGTTGTTGGTGTACAGTGATGTTGGGGACTGTGGTGACACGGGACAGTTGTGTGTATTGTTGACATGGAGATGACTCGGAGCAACTTGCAAGGCCCAAAGGAGCGGGGGACAGTGTGTGGGGGACAGTGTGTGGAGCACTTACCTGCTCCAAGACTGGTGAAAGTCTCCCAGTGCATCAGGCAGGCGGGGTTGCTGTGCCTTGCTCTCCTGCAGCCCCTGAGGGCTGCTTGGCAGGAGGCCCCTCGCAGTGATGGTAACTCAACTCTTCCCTAAGAGTTAACCTATCAATCACTTTGAATAGTGGAAACTGTTCAGTAACAACCTGCTATTTAAAATATAAAGCAAGTGCAATGATGGCAAAAGGTGTTGGGTGACCAGGAGAGGTTTACTTTTCCATGGTTGGGAGAGTGAGGAGATGCAGGGCAGACTTCCTCAGCTGCTGGGTTTTCAGAGCCTGGCTCTGTGGGTATAAAAGCAGCTCTCTGCTGTGCCTCCCTAAGGAGCACTTGGTGTGGAGCATGTCATTCCCTTAGGAGCAGTGGTGGGAGAGGAGGAGGCTCCTTCTGGAGAGCATCCCCCAAGACCAGGGCTCTGAGAAATGTGTGTGATACTCTGCTTAAGCAACTGAAAAGAAGAACTTTTTTCTCTTAAAACTGTCACAGCCTTTTCCTACTCTTTCAAAATAAAACAAAAATGTTTGATATTGAAGCCATTAGCTATGATAGCATTGTACATAAGTTGGATGTTCCGTATGAGTTATTTAAGTTCACTTACAAATTTCTGCATTTTCAGATATGCATTTTTACGAAAGATATCTGTCTTTTACTAAAACTTCTAGATGGGGCAAAATCCAGTCTTTGTCCAGCTCTGTGACATTCTTCAGGACTGCTTAATGGGAAAGGAGTGTTCTCTTCATCCCTGTGACTGAGAAGTCATTTCTGCATCTCACTTGGTAGTGAGAGAGGAATGTACATAATGTTACCTTTCTCTTAGAGCTGCAGCACAGAGATACTTTCAGTCTCATTATGTCTCATAACCTGGGTTTTTAATTTAAATGAGAACATTAATGTAGGTTTTCAAAAATCAGCTTTATGAGAATAGTTTGTGAAGTTAAAACTGTCCCTACTTCTGCACTAAAGTCATCTCCTATCATTAATACATCTTAACATCTCCAGAGTCGGGACTCAAATATTTCTAGAATTGCACTTATTTTGAAGAGTTAAAAGATACTAATGAAAATTTTCTTTTGGCTTTGTAAAAAGCCAATGCTGAGACAGGCTGATTATATGACTGTGTCAAGGTAGTGTGACAGGGAAGTGTAAAAAGGAGGCAGGTGCTCTCTGTATATGGGGGGATCATGTTTTGGTTTTGTTTTGTTTGCTTTTCCCCAGCAGCTGTGGCCCCTGGTTTACTTGGAAAGAACTGCTTGGTGCCTGTGCAGTACATTTAGAAGTCAGAGGGTTGCTAGCAGTCTCTTGAAAGGCACCCTTCATGCTGAATTCCTATAAATAACTGGCTTTAATGTATCTTAACTGCTGTTCCTTGTCCTTTTTTAGGATGGCATTAAATACCCACCTCCTTTTTTTCCTTTCCTTGAGGGTTTCTCATATTGTGGGAGCCCCTGTAAGTAACCTGCTGGTGTAGGTGTCTGCAGGGTGACACTGGGAGGTGACTTTGGCCCCCTGTGCTGGTACATGAAGGGGTTAAGTGGGAGATGTTCTGGGAAGGAGGCAGCTGTGCCCATGCTGGGCTCTTCTCCCCCTCTCCCTGTTCCACCTGTTGTCACTTGAGCTGTGGCCACCTCATGCAGAGTAACTTAATATGGCAAAGCTGGGTTTTAATAGCACAGGCTGATGCTTGGAGGGGAGATGAGGCAGCTTTGGGAGTGCCCAAGAGAAGGAGCTACATCTAAGGGCAGGGATTACAGGGAACAAAGTGGCTTTGAGATGTGGTTCCTCTCATGGTGGTTGCCTAAGTGGAACTTGTGGTGGCCTCTGGAGTGACTGTCTTGGAGACAGTTGTGCTGGCACAGAGCTGGCTGATATTTTTGATCTCTCATTCTAGTTGCCCATAAATATAAATGGCCCCAGTAGCACCTCAATGTGCTGTGGATCTCATTGTGCTCTTGCAGGGGGAGATTCCACTGGGAAGAGCTGCTCCATGTGACTCCCCATAGCAGGACTGTCTTCAGGCCTGGCCTGGTGCCTGCAGGGGTAGTGGGCACAGGAGCTCCTTGCCAGGAGATGCTGCTGAGCCCATGGGAGACATCAAGCGGGGTGCTACCCATAGAGATGTTTGCAGCAGCTCTCTGATGTCTTCCTCCCAAGAGGAATGTGTTGGCTTAGGGAGAAGCTCCCTAATTAGTCCTGATCAAAGAAAACCCTTTTCATATGGATTGAGTAAGGTGACTTCCTGGAGAAGATGTTTATATATTTTATTTTCATAAGACTTTATTTTGTGAAATAGTGTGCAGAGAGAATAAATTAAGTATGGGGTGCTGCCTCGGGTGGAGTTTGATCAGCTTTAGAGAAAGAAAGACTTTATAGCCCCAAAGTGACCACAGGGATTTATTGACACTTTATTTTTTCCAAGGTTTTACATAATTTCATAGGCAAACAACATGGAAAAAAGATGTTTGGGGAGGGATAGATGGTGGATCCACTTTGTTCCATCTAGCTTGCCTTAGTGAAAGTTCATTTTCCAAAGCTGAAATTTTCTTGGAAGTACAGTGACCCACAGGGTGATACATAGGGATGCACTGGTAAAAAGTAGATATTTTGGAGACAAATCATCCAGTCCTGTGGCATCTGTTGACAGTGACTGATGTAACAGGAATTTCACTGGGACAAATCTCTGGTGCCATCTGGTCTTCTTGAGTTCAGATCCTTCTGGGAAGGAATGGGAGAGTTGGTCTCACTTTAGTGAGGAGGTCACTTTACCTAAAGAAACACTTGCAAAATCACAAATCGAACCCTGATTTCTCACTACTTCCCTTTAAAGTGTTTGCTGTGTGCAGGGGTTTGAAATGTCTTTTCCAAGTTGTTATAACTGTGAACAAAATAGCAGCATATCCAGCCTTTTTTGGTCCTGCTCATACAATTCTTTTAACATGCAGGTACTTCTGAAGTCCTGCTTTGACCACTGGTCATGACTGTTAAACACTTATTCGGATTCAAGCTTCATGTTTGCGTTGCCCTCAGGAGTTCATGAAGGTATTCAAGCTACTCTGCTTTTACTTTAATCTAGAATCAGAAGGCATTGCTTTATTTTTTTAAAACCAATCATCTCAGTGCTTATAGGATAAATATTTCAAGCTGTCAATCTGCATAGCTTAATTTTGCCTTACAATGCGAATCTAAGGTAACATTTAAATTTCAGCATTTTTATAACTGCTAGTCATTTGTCATGGTCTGGATATGTTATCTTAGATAAATCCACTAACCCACTGCCTCAGTGTCACCAGTTCTAGAGTTATTAATAGGATCCAGAGATCTAGATTCTTTATTTGCTTTTGTCCAACAGTCTTTTTTAGTTTTATATTATTGAGGACAGTTACGTTGATAACCTATGTCTGGCCATGAACAGATAGAAATCCATTAGCACAGCAAGAGGGAAGAGGTTAAGCATGCAAAAGAAAAGAATATATCACCTGGTGTCTGGGGAATTCCACTTAGACGGATAAGATGTGCTTTACAAATGCTGTGAATGAATATAGACATGATAGTTAGAAGGAGCAGCAAACATTGGTTTAGGAAGTATCTTTAAAAGTAAGAACTGTTGTTTACAATGAGCTGAAGTCACTGTAAAGGCAAATTCCTCTGCAGGCTAAGTATGTTGCAAACAGCAATAGCCATTTTCATGTATATTACATGTTTTTAACCACAACTCAAAGGCAGCTTTGATTTGCCTGGAAAGGTTCAGCATTAAAAGCCAGCTGTGAAGAACTTCTGAGATGAAATGTAGGAGAAGGGGTTGTTGAACCCTCATGCCTACCCTCATAGTTGATGCAGCCGTTGGAGTCTTCCTGACCTTTCATCAATTCATCTACTTCCTCCTCTGTCATCTTTTCACCTGGAAGATGGGGAGAGCTGTGTTAATGATACAGACACTCAGCTGACCTGATACCTGGAGGTTTTCCAGGAGTGCTCTTTTCCTTTCTTTTCTCTCCTTCCCAGGCTAGTAACAAAGAAGACCTAGAACTGAACTGAGCTTTTCTAGCTTTAACTTTCCCTGGGTATTCTGTATGTGTGCATAAACATTCTTGTTATGCTGCCAGGCAAACTTTGGGGCAAATCCTCAGGGGCTGCCTGTGTGCTTTGTTACTTGCAGCCTTTTCTCTGTATCTCAATTTATAGGCATTCTTAGTATCAACACAGAACTAGAAAACATACTACAAGGTTGTCCTGTTAGCTGGAGTAAGCAGACTCTTCTTTTTGAGCTTCCTATTGTGTATTTTATTTGCTTTCCCTTGGGTTTTTCACTTAAATCCAGACTTCTCTGGAACTTGGTAGCCTCTTCCTTCCCTGGATTGCTTGGAACACCTTCTCCTGCACTTGTGCCCTCAGACAGCAGTAACTTTTTACAACTCTTCACAGAGAAGCTGACCCCTTACCCAGCGTAGCCAGGACGTGGCGGAGTTCAGCCCCCATGACTGTGCCATTGCCCTCCTTGTCAAATACACGCAGACCTTCAACGAAGTCCTCATAGGTGCCCTGGTCCTTGTTGTTAGCAGCTGCTTGCAGCATGGGCAGGAACTCCTCAAAAGTAATTTTCTTGGCATTCATCTCTGGAAAGAAAATACCAGTTACTTCCCTATGAGACCCTCTTCCTGGCATTCCCATGCTGGGTTGTTCATTCTGAAACTTGGGAGGATCTCCCAGCTTTGCTTTTTTAAAAAACTTTTCTAGCTCCAGCCCCAGGATATGGCAGTTCCTCCTCCAGAATCTGGATTCTTTCCTATTTGATTTCTCCTATCTTTGTCCCAGCCTTCTTTTCACACAATCCTAGAGAGTTATGCTTTTGTGCATGTTGCATTTTTCCTTTCAGAAATGAAGCGTGCTCTGAGTTCATCATGAAAGCATAGTGTGCTAGGGGTGGAAGCAGCAGAAATCTGGAGCCCCAAATGCTTTCAGGCCTTATTTAGACTTGGGCAAGCCCCAGGAGTTGCTCACATCGTGTTACCTCCAGATTTTCAAGTGGTGTTCTCACCTTGGAGGTGAGAAGGTAACTAAAAAACCTATAGCTTTCTTTATTTGATCTTTCCAAGGAGCAGGGCAGGAAGTCTTGTCCTCTGTTTTTCAATTAATAAGAAACAAACAAGCTTACTGCTCTAAGGCTGTCCTATAAGCTGGAGTGAAATGAACCTTGGTAGTGTGAGTATTTAAGTGATATTGAGGGTAGGATTATGTAAAGAGGTTCTGCTGCCTTGAACTTGCTCTCTTCCTCCAGCTGTCACAATTAGGTCTTGAGTTTAGTTTTCTTTTGCAAACCTGCTCTTGCATTTTGCAGGGTCTGTAGGACCTGCCAGCAGGGATTACTAGCTTAAAAATAGACTAGCTATAAATAGGAGCATCCTTCCAGCACACATGTTGAGACTCGCTATTGCACATGACCAGTGTGCAGGTCCAAGGGCTCCCAAGCTTAGTGCCTTTTAGACTTTTGCTTTCACCACCCAGAGGTGCCATCTTCCTTGGGGAGGATTTCCCCAAATGGCTTTTATTGGAGCAAGGCTGTTGAAGGGATTTCTTATGTTTTCTTACATCTCTGAAGATTAACTTTTCTGTCTAAAGACAAACAGACTTTTTAGTATGTAATTACTATAGAAACTGTTTTGCTAGTAAGTGTACCAAAATCACAGCTGGCTGTTGCTCTAGTTGCTTAAAGCCCTGTGGTGGTCTTGTCTGTTAATCCTTTGCTTAGTGCTTCCTTCACACTAGTGTTAATGTTGAACTTGGGTTCCCTGGAGGACCCTGAATGCCCCTTGCCACCGCTGAGGGTTTGGAGGTACCTTAACCCATCTTAGCCTGGTCCTGCATCCCTGCAATCGGGCCCCAGCAGAGACTGTGGGGTAGTTACCCTCTTTGCTGGGGTTGCCCAGGATCTTGTTGACCTCGGCGTTGGTCGGGTTCTGCCCCAGCGCGCGGACGATGTCGCCGACCTGGCTCAGGGTGATCTTGGCGTCGCCGGTCCGGTCGAAGAGCAGGAAGGCCTCCTTGAAGTCTGCAGGGGGAAGAGCGTGTGTGAGCGCAGGCCGGGCGGCTCTGTGTTGGCAAGGCCGCTGATGGTGCGAGGCTGGTGTCTCCTGGCACCTGTCCCCCTTGGTGGGGTTGGCCAGGAGAGCCTTGGGCCCGCAGTTCCAAGAAGAATGCCTCCCCTCTGACATTTTGGGTTCACTATTTTTAAACTTTTATATCTACTTTTCCCTACTTTTCTGGCCCTGATAGCTATCAATAACTTTGTAATTGATCCCACGGTTATTTTGAGCATCAAGGAAGACGAGCGTGCTACAAGCACTGCCATTTAAGAACAGGTTCCTTTGCATGGCATAGCAGGAGAAGGTGGATGTGTTCCTGAATAATCAGCTCCATTTTATTTCACCCTGGGACTGAGACACTTCCATAAAAATATTTAGCAGTGAAAAATATCCTCCTACTTTCATGGGTCCTCTCTGGAATCCCAAGGTCTCAGATGCCTGGTATGAATGGGAGACTTAGTGGTGAATTTCGCTCTTACTCTTCCTTAAGGTTGTCTTCTAATAACACTTTTACTCATTGTTTTTTCTCTTATCAGCCCTTTGTGATCTGTCTCTGCTTCTTGAAGATCTAGCTTTTCCAGTGGCAACACTTTCGTGGGGCCTTATTCCAGTGTATTCCCATTAAGTAAATCCTGAGACTGCTGCTTTCAGTGTTCCCAGAGATTATCATTCAATAACTTTCTTCTTTGCTGTTGACCAAGGACTTGATTTACTGACATGTTTATAAAAATCAGTGCAGGTAATCACCTTTATCACACTTGCAGTCCTCAGCTGCAAGTTTGGCATTAATCATCTTTATCTCCTTAGTCTCTTTAAAGAACTTTTTGCAACAAGTAAAGAAATAGGTAAACTCTTTACTTTTTACATAAAAATCTATCCTTGACCTTTGCGGGTCAAGGGCAGCTTGGTCTGCTATTGATCTGTGGTACAGTGCTTGACCCTGCTGTGCTTTAATTCCAAGAAAACCAAGCGAGGCATCTTTCCAGCTGCTTATCTGATCTGAGAGGGTGTTGTGACTGAGTGCAGCTTTGTGTGGCGCAGCTACCTCGAATGCTCCTTTTGCCTGAGGCGGGTTTAAGAGTAACAAATCACGTCTCTGACTGTATCTGTTTGCCTTATGGAGGAGATGTACGAAATGCAGGTGTTTAGGTTTGCTTTAGCCATCTGTGTTCCTCCCCACCGGAGCAGCGGCTGGCACCCAGTAAAACTGCTGATGCAGGACTAGGTCTTCTGGGCTGTAATCTAACACATCTGAAACTAATCCCCTTGCTGTCGGACGTGCAGGACCTATAACCCTTTACTGCTGAGACTCTCCCCTTACAGCTTTTATTGCAGAGTGTAAAATTGAGGCCTTCTTGCACAGAACTTCCCCTTACAATCTACTAGCTTCATATTGGCTCCTGCTCTAGCAGCTGAGCTCCATGGATTGTGTGGCATTAAATCAATGTAGCTCTGGGCTTTCCTCTGCTTCACAAGTGACCTTAGACTATAGCTAAGCGTAAAGCGATGTCAGCTTTTTGTTAGCAAAACCATCAGGTGGCTTTCTCTGTTTTGTGAATCCCACCAAGTTTTGTTCCCTGGGTTATGAACACAGCTCCCTGGTTCAGAGGAAAAGGCCCAGTTTTAGCTTTGTCTCTCAGGTATGCATTTCTCTGCAATGTGTCCATGCTGATCTCCAGCTTATACCTCTGCAGGAATAAACAGGAAAATCTGCCTCTGACCAGGGTTATGCCCAGCTGCTGGTGTGTGTGGATGGAGATAGCTGTTGAGGGTGGGTTTAGGGGAAATTCTTCCCCTCTCAAATGTGTTTTAATTGCTCCCATTCTTGGTTCAGTCATCATAGCATTACAACAGCTGGATCATCTGAAATATGGAAGGAAGCTGGGGAAAAAATATCTATTGCTTTGTTATACATGCCAGTAGCTTTGAATTGATGGCATTTCCTATAAACCCTCTCAATTCCTTTCTAAATTCTTAAAATTACAAAGTGAGGATGAGTCCAAATTTCCTTTGTACTCAGGAGCATTTGGCTGGACATGTTCATAGCACTGTACCCTTCCCTCTTACTTTTGATGGTTATGTCAGCGTAACCTAGAGCAGAATTGTAATCATGCTTCTCTGACTCTGTGCTTCTCTGCCTTTGGATTTCCAGTAAATCCTTGTATTTTTCCACCTAAATACTTTCACACTTGGAGCCTGCCTTTGATGGATTTATCTTGATTTGCTTTACTATTTAATACATGTGTTACAGTAAGCCAAATGCATCTTTGAAAGTATTAAAATATGCATCTATGGAGGTATTAACCCTTAGGCATAGATTTTTTCCAAGGCTTCAATAGGGATTATTTTAACAGCAGAAGTTTTAATCGGGCCTGTCTAGCAGGCTGGCAAAAAAAGAAATGGCATTTCCTGAAAGCACAGAATGCAGCACAAGCTTTAGGACAGAGCCTGATATGCTTTATGCAGTTTCATGTGTCTGTTTGCTAACTGCTCCATGTTTCATAAACTGTTCCTAAACATTTTTGTTTCCCAAACATTTTTACAGTAAAAGAGCTGTTCTTCTCCCCTTTCTCCAACACCTCTGGGCAAAAGCAACAAGGAGATCTCTGGTGAAATCTCTTAAACTGTCTACTTGGGCCCAATTGCACTATCACTAGAACTAGGTTAAATCTTCTGCTTGTTCTCTTCTCCTACCGTCCTGCCTCTGCTGAGCTCTGGGGTTTTAAACAGGACTCATTTTCATCATCCTTTAGAACAGCTGTTAGACAAACACAGCCAAAAACACTCAGCCACAGAGCTGGTCACACCAGCGTATTCCCTCTTCATATGATGCCATGAACTTATCCGCTTGGGCAGCACAAAACCATCCAGATAAATTACATGGGAAGCTAAGGTCAGATCCTTGCTTGGTGCAAGTCAACACCTTGCTGTGGAAGGCAACAGGGCGGTGACTTAGAGCAGCTAAAATGCTAGGTCCTCCTCTTGTAAAGGTTAAACCTCCCAGCTCGTGGTGCCTATCTGAGCCCACACACATGTGCGACACATTGGCTGTCTTGTAACTTACCATCCTGTTGCTCCTTGGAGAACTCGATCTGTTGGAAGGAAATCAATCACAAAAAATAGCTTAGGAAAGGGGGGCTAGGGGAGAACCTGTTCGTTTCTAAAGCATCCAGCTCAATCCATGAGTCATCTTCAAAGCAGAAGAAATGTGGCCTCTCAGACGTGCAGTAGTAATTCAGAAAGCAACAGAGCTCTTAAGACTAGTGAATATTTAGCATTTAGGAGACATTATGCTTTTTACCCCACCATTAAAGTTTAATTTTTTATTTCACTTACCATTAATTTGGTCAGGAGTGAAGGACTGCAGTTTGGAAAGAAAAAGAGAGAAGAAAGAACTAGTACTGCTGAAAATGCACTGAGAGAAAGCAAAGAGCACAAGGTACCTGAGCCCTCTGACACCTCTGTCTTGCCTAGTGCAATTAGGCCTTGACAAACTAACATCCTGCCTTGTAAAAATATGTAATCAAGTCTGGCTTTAGAGATTCTGGGGAATTCTGTATCCCAGGGCAAGCCAGGGTTGTGGTGGAAGCAACACAAATCATAAGTCTCATAACATGCAATTGGGTCACTAGTGCTTTAATATAGACCCATTTTATTAAGAACCTTTGAAGTAATATTCTTTAACAAGCAGCAGCTTTGCAATAGCGTAGAAAATAAACCCATCCATTAAGGCCTGTGTTTCAAATTATTTTTGACAACACATTGTTTCATAAACTACTAAATTATGATCTTTTATTATAGGAAAATATTGCTATTTCCCCTTGCAACTCCAGCAGGTCACCTCAGACCATAAGCAACTGCTTAGCAGATAGCTCTAGCAAGCTGCAGGAACTGCTGTCCTGCCCCTACCTAGCACAGGACACCAGGAGGACTGGGCAGCCCAACCCAGTCCATTGTATTTGCTTGGCTTCCCCTTCTCCAACCAGCTGTCCTCTTCTGGCCCCCTAGAGCTAACTCAAGCAAGAAGCTGGATTTACTCATGGAAAACGCTTGCTGCTAAAGCATTAGCTTCCCCCGTGGACCCACCATGGTTGCGCGTTGGAAAAGTAGAGCAGCAGACAGGCAGGAGGAATTAGCTGCGGTCTCTGAGAGTGGTCCTGCTTTCCTGGCCTTTCTTCCTCTTATTTATGCGGAGGCGCTGACGACATTGCCGGGATTGGGTGTCAGAAGGAAACTGCCACTCCCCTCGGTGAGTTCTTTAGCTTTCTTAGGGCAAAGTGACAGAAGGCTCCGTGTCTTGATGGACGTTTTACAATGACTATTTTTAGGGGGCCGGAGAGAGGCAGGGAGTGGCGAGCAGCAGTAAGTTTGAATCATGTCAGCAATTTCTGGGTCTGTACCCTCAAGAGAGGATATTCCTTTTCCAGCCCTACCAAGGCTGCCTTATAGGGAGGGCTTCTTTCTCCAATAAGCCATAAAGCCAGTGAAAGAAGAGTGCAGGGGCCACAAGTCCCATGTGGCTGCCCAGCTGGCTGGCCTTCTGCATGGCCTCCTGGTTGTGTGTTGGTAGGTGCTGCTGGATGGCAAGTTCTGGGCTTGCTTCAAAGCCCACAATGTTGCTAAGACTCCTTGTAGCTCCACTGGGCTCTACTTAGCCCCTTTTTTGCGGTAACTTACTGCTCTGCATTGGCTTGGGGCTGCTGCTGGTCTGTCCTGTGCAATCTAGGTGTGTTGGTGCTAAGCAGAAGATCCATATGTAGGTCCCACTATGGAGCTCCTTAGTATTGGCTGTAGTGGGCTTGTGAGTGAGGAGTTCCCAGATGCTGCAGGTTTTCAGTAGTTAAGGCCTAATCCCATGTAGCATCTTCCAGGCCCAGACCATATCTCCAAATTCACACTGAGATGTTCCAAAGGATGTGGGAACTTCCAGCGTTTCAGTCTCACCTCAACTGGTCCAGGGAGGGTTATGCAGCCACGGTGGGAATGGTTGAGGGATGGACTCTGTTGCAAATTCAGATGCAGGCTTGCCCTAATTCCTATCGGTTTCTTTTGCATGTTCTCTTGTCCTGATCCTCCAATGATAAAATGTGATTAATGAGAAATTCTGTTTCTTATAGTGCAGCTAGGTGCCCTGAAGATAAGTATAACCTTTCTGAACACCTGACTAGCCTCAGTATATTGAGGGCTCTGAAAGATTCAACACCAGGCACACCTGAGTTTTTAAAATTGATCAATGAAAATAGGTCAAAATATTTAGTAATATTGGTTCTTTTCAAGCTATTGCCTTTTTCTTTAAAGGCTGAAGTCTTCAAAAGTCTCTGAATTACAGAGACCATACTAGCTTAAAAATATTTTGTCAAAAGTTTCTTTGTGCTTTGGAAGAATATCTGGAAAACATTGAGCAAGAAGGATACTCACTTTTGTTTCTTGTTGCTCTATTACTTGTAATTACTTACATTACTTGCATGCAATGACCAAGCTGGGGTCCCATAAAGCACGGAGCTGATGCTTTTATCTCCTTTAGCTTCTATAGGTTAAACACTGCAGCTCCCCTAGATAATACTAGCCATGGTTGCTACTGGGCAGTGGGAAAGCCAGTGTAGACCTTGGCCATCAGTTCCAGCACGTTAATAAAGGAGCTTCCTAAGGGCTTTGGCAGAGTGGAGGTGTTGCCCGGGTCCCTGCAGTGTGCTGCCTGTTGTGGGATTTCCCCCTCACTCTAGTACTGGAAATCTCAGTTCCTGAAAATGTGGTTAAAAATACATAAATACACCATTATTATTAATTGTCACTAAATCTTTTTACCCAAGGGACTGTTGGTTTAATTCTGTAGTACTTTTTTCTCACTTTCTGCTCAGTTTTATGGTTGCTTAAGATCCATTCCAAAAGATTTCAGATGCTAACTAAATGTTTGGCATGGGTTTGTTTTGGACATGTAAACTCAATTTCCAGTTTACCCAGCTGGCTTGGATGGGCCATCAAATAGGTATAAACTGAGAGAGGTCTCTAAGGCAATTGAACTCCTGACTGTGTGGGACCTGAACTCAAATTTTGCATAAGAAAATACTGGTGCACTGCAGCAGCCCTTGAATAAAAATCCACTGGATGGAATTTTGCTGTGGAGAAATATTCCTGTGTGGTCGTGCCACATACTTTTTGCATTAAGATTGACCTTGCTCTGAGTCGATGTAGTCTGGTATGGGCTTAAAGTGCTGCTCTGTTTGAGTAAAGGCACTTATGGCCTCAGGATACAAAATATTTTGATTGCTCCTTTCAAAAATTAAGGTAAGAGTATAAATAGGAAGGAGGATTCTGTGGTGATCTGACCTTTATGATCCTGGCAATGTTTTCTGTATGATCAGAAAACAAATGGTTCTGGGGGTACTAGTAAAGAATGAAAACTTAGAACTGACTGAGAGAATTGAAGAAAAAACAAATATGAAGGAACTGCAATACATGGAAAGACCAGAAGGATTCCTCTGATCTAACTTCTGTGAATCCTCATGAAGGGATTAATTATTATCTCAAAGACATTTACAGTAGATACTTTAAAAGGTTAAGGGCTTTCCCTGTGGTGTTTACCACCGCCTTCTTAAGCGTAAGACCCAAGATGGTTGCTCTGCACTCATGGTAAATGTGGAAATGCCTGGGCAGAGTGAAAAGCCCTGTAGAAAGAGGCTGATGGAAGCTAAATTTGCTCTAGCTACCCTTTGGGTGCACTGTGGAGAGGAGGAGAGTTATCTCTGTTAGGATTTGATTAGAGACCCACCAGGTATTCCAAAGGATTTTCTCCATGGATGAGACTGAGCACATACTGGGTTCCTCAAAAACAGAGGGGAGAAAACTAGAGAATCCCCTGGGACTCTTATATAATTAATCTCCTATACGGAGTGCCTTTTTTGGGTAGCGATCAACTTGGATTGTGCCTAAGGCAGCTCATATGATATCTGCTTGCCATTAATGCCCGATTAATATAGCTGCACATATTTCCTAGTAGGCATCATCAAGGGCAGGATTATAGGGCTCCAAAGCTTCAGAAAAGTGGGTGGTTCTTCACCAGTCTTGCACCTTGGCTTGGGACTCTGATCAACACAAGGGGTCTCAGAGAAACTTCTTCCTCTTTAGGGAAGAGTCAACGGCCTCATGGATTTTCCCCATGTACTTCATGGGGCAAAGAAACTGGGAATAGATGAGCTCTTGAGAAGGAGAGCTCTGTTATAGAGTGAAACAGCCCAGGAACGCAGTAGAAGAAAGAGTAAGAGCAAGCACCACTCGTATATGACCATCAGGGACAGAAGAATAGTTCAAGTTCCTTAAAAGAGGTTTTAAAGTGGATAAATTTGTCCTTTTTTCCCCCTCAACTGCTCTGTCTCTTTATGGTTTGTTCCAAGTCTGTAACTTTGCAGCTAGCGTAGAGCTGCGCAAAACCTCCTGGATGAGCCTTGCAGACTTGATTACTGAATGTGCCCTTCTAAAATGCCTGGGAGGGAAGCATGTGCCGGGTCATGCCAACTTGCACTGGTTTTCTAAGCCTCGCTGGGGAAGCTGTGTCCAGTTGGGCTCCTTGGTAAAAGTGTCCCTTTTCCTACTGCCTTGGGCTCTGTGTGACTGTGTAATGGGAGAGATGTGTGGAGGAAAGGTGAGGCTTCCCAGCTCGACCCAGTCTCCTAGGGATTTGCTGCTTTAACGTGCCTCCCAGTGGCCGTGCTGGAGTATTAACGTTATTTAAACTCCTGCTGCTTGACATTTAAGTGCTATGCACTAAAGCAGCCAGCTGAAAGTGCTTTTTGGCAGGACATGGAAGATGGAAGAAAGCCCCAAGGAAGCAGGAGCAAAATTCCACCTGAGGTTGTCTCGTCTCTCCTTACAGGCAACTTCTTTCTTTACTAGTCACTGCCTAAATTGGTCACCTTCTTTATACCTTACGTAAGACAAATTCAAATATCTTGTTGCTATCTCTCTGTGCTTCTAAGGGGTTTAAACCAGCATTCTGGAGGTATTTCATGTCTGCTTCAATTTGTTGAGAGGAGGAAGGCTCCCCCTGAAACTGCTGTGGGCACTAGAAATCAGTTTAAGTGAGCTTTTGAAATGTTACTCTGGGTATAACTTGCTTTTAGCTTCCTTTATTTCTGCCAAAATTTGTCACTCCTTAGACTCTCCAAAGGCTACAGGCACTTCCTAAATGCTGCCAAAACCATGAATGACCAAGAATGGATCTTAGTCCAAATCATTACTTTTCAGAGTCTTTTTTTAAGGCTAGCAAACATAAGAAATATCTGCTGATGGAGGGATAGCTTTTACTTCTGAGGGATTCCTTGTGAAGTAGCACATTGGAGGGGGGGAAAAAAAGTTCTCCTGAAAACTTGTATGGAAAAAGTTCCTGACAGAGGTGGGGTTTTTGTTTGGCTTTTTCTTCCCATTTGTTTTTTCCTTTGGTTTTCAACACAGTCTGGAATTCTCGGTGTGTAGCAGAGTCTGTCCAGATGATTTGCAGTGCAGTGACTTGGTATCTGCCTATGATTACAGCCTTGTGCTGAAGAGGGGATTGGCAGAGAGGGGCAAGGGACTGAGGGCTGTTCTGCTCCGGGGGATCCCGAGTGCTGCCGTGTCCCAGTGGTCTGAGGTAGAGCAGGATGCTGGTGGGGTGATATCAGGTGCCTTGCATATCTTAAGGCTAAGTTGTATTTACATCTGCCCCCTTTGAACTCAAGGGACACTTGGGACTGGCAACCTTGCCCTATGGATCATTGCGTCCTCTGGAGTCATGCTGGAGTCTTCCCTGGAGTTGGATCAGACACAACTTGGACTCCTGAGGCAAATACTTCAGCCAAAAGCTTATCAGTTTCTAAGAAAGCTTTTAGTGATAGCAATGAAGCAGCCATTAACATTCCTGTTCTTGTTCTCCCTGTGGAAAGGGGGATGTCTGGTGTGACCTCCCTCCAGCACTTCAGCTGATGTCTGCAGCCCAGCCACTTCCCATCAGCACGGTTAGCGGCTTTGCCTCTCTCTGGTCATCTCCAAGCTCTGCTCAGAGATGACCTACTTCAGTAGTGAACACAATAAGAATTAAGGACACTGGGAGAAAGTTTTATGGTGTCTTAAGAGCTCTGTATTTAAAATCACACAGGTTTGCTTCCATGCAGCAGGCTTCTCATGCATCACACAGTTAAGCAGGGGTTTAGTAAGTCATTCCAGATATTTCTGCTGGTTACTTTTTCCTGAAGATGCAGGTAATTTATCTGCAATGGGGTATTGCACAACTAGACTCCTGTGCTGAGGTTTCAGCCTTGAAAACACAGGCATAGGAGGTGCTTTTTTGCCCCATGAGCATCCCTTAGAGCCTGGCTGGCCAAGAGCTGCTGCTGTGATGCCGGCTCAGGGCGCAGTGTGCTCACTGGGAGCCTCTGAGGCCCAAAGCTCAGCATGTCCAGCACCCAGGGCACTGCAGCCGGTGGCACCAGATTGGGTTTGGTTCATGCCCATTGGGTTGTGTGTGTTGGGAAGTGCCTTAGATTTCCCATAAGAAATGGTATACTCTTCTCATTGCTGCTATGAGTTGAGCTAAGTGCAAGGAAATGGGGGCAATAGGAAGTTTATCCATTCCCTGTTACACTGTTAGTTGTCCCATCCAAATTCCTGCAGCTATAGACCTGTAGCAACTGGAATCAGCTGGAAGTCTCTTGCTGCAGTTTGTGAGAAAGTTGCATTTTTAGGAAGTGTCCTTATCTCCCTTTTAAGTTTGAAACTTCTGGGGCCTTGAAAATTTGACCTGAGAGGCCTTTGCTTTCTGTTGTGGTTCATTCTTATTGCAGTCCTTGAGCCAAGTCTCAGAAATGTTCAGCTTAAATGATTAGCCTCTGTACCTGACATGCAAATCCAGGTCATACTAGCAATATCAGTCTCAAAAGAGCTGTGTGAATCGGTTTTCAGGCTTGTTTTGTTTTCTCAGTAGGGGGGGAAAAAAGTGGGGGTTTCAGACTTCTGTGTCAAAAGAAAATCGTCTTCTAGTCTGTGCCTTGGCTCTGTGCAGCTCTTAAGCTGTAGCCAGGTTGAACTGAGAAGGGGCAGGTGGAGGCTCTTGCCTCCAGCACAATTCAATTTCCTGTTAATCAGTTTTGTAGTCAATAGGTGGTGCTCAAAAGTAGGAAATCCCATTCCAGTGGCTCCTGGTGCTAGTGATTCTTCCAAATAATGGTTTTCAATGGCTCCTCCTAAGGGGAAGAGGGAGCGGCCTCTGTTTAGCAAGTGGGGTGAAAAGCCTACCAGCACTTCTGAAGGTGACCAGCCATTTTGGGTGTGTCTGCATTTAAATGTGCCAACATCAAGACCTCTTAGGCCTCAGTGGCCTCTTAGGTCAGACCTTTCTAGTGTATACCCCTTGGTTTGAAGTATCTAAGAGTAAGATGCCCTGAAAGAAAGACATATCTGAAAACAACTTGCCTAATTTTTGGTTTTGGAGAGTCCTGTAATTGCTAATGACAATTTAAGGGCTTATTAGATGGTTCTGTGCTTAGTGGCTCCAGCCATAACAGTTGGGAGGAGCACAGGTGTCTTTGAAAGCTGGGAAAGCCCTTCAGGGTGGCCACTGTGTTGCTGCCATGTGTTGCTGCTTTGGGGCTCCCCCAAAGGTCATGCCCAGGAACCCCTCCTTAGCAGCAAGCTTTGACATGGCCATGAATTCCTGGGAGAAGAGCAGAGGAGCCTACTTGGGGCTCTTGAATGTACTGGAGGCTTTGGCTCTGCTCCTGGTTGTCTGTGTAGAGAGCACCATGATAGGGTCATTTACTGGTGGGAAGCTTAGCGTGTTGAGAGCTCCACTTCCAAAGTTTCCTTGGAAATGATGCTGTGTGTTTTCCTGTGTTGCTGCTTCACCGGTTGACTGGAAAGATTGGCCAACACTAGTGAAGGGACCATATTAAAATTCAAAATATGAATTTGATTCCCAACTCTGCCATGAATATCTCCCAGGCAAGTTAGTTACAAGGCAGCATTTCTGTTCATTGCCTGAGCTCTCAAAGGGTGAAGCTTGGTAATCCAGGGCTGGCTGGGACCTTGGGAGGTCATCCTGTGTGTGCCCTCTGCTCTGAGGCAGGATCACCACCCCATGATCCTTCCTGACCTCTCCAAAAGCTCCATGCTTGAGGTGCCACAATGTACCCACACAGTGATGGGGGTGAGAGGGGACAGCTGGGGATGGAGGGGGCATATTTGGGACCCTCACGTGCAGCTTGGCTGCCTGCATCACGTTGTGGTCATGGCTGTATAGCTGTGTTGTGCACTTGGTACCCATCACGTTGCCATGTGCTTCTGTATCCTCACTCACCCTGCTCTGGTCTTTACTCATTTGCAAACAGCCATGGGGATCCTCATGTGCTGTCATTGGTGCTAAGAGGTTAGTTTGTTCTTACCAGTCCAGATTTCCCTTCCTGCCTTCAAGGAGAAAATAGTGTCTGATGTTATCACTTGAGAGAGGGGGGGATTCGAGCAGACTGTCTCTTATCAGTCTGGATATGACAAACCCCCAATTGTTCTCTGTTGCCAATATAGATTTCCTGCTGTAATGGAGAACTGTCTGGGTGAAGGAACAGGTTGTACTGAGCTGAGGAGATGCCTCAGACTACAGCCCACCACATTTTAACTGGTGATACACTATTAAGTCTATTTATGTAAAGATAGATTAGCTAGGACCACTGAAGTTGAAAATTCTATTTTCTCCTAATGATCTGGACAGAGCCATTGAATTATTCAGCAGGAAATCTACCTTGTGTCACCTCTCCTCTGGAGAGGAGTGAAAGGAGAGGTCTAATCCAAGGGGCAGGCAGTCTCATAGACGCTTGACTCTGTGTAGGCTTTATTAGGATTGCTCTCAATACATCAAAGTATGTTTTTTATTTTTTACCAGTGAGTTCAGATTGAGTTTTACTGGAAGCTACATACACACTTAGTTAGCAAAATACTGACTTACTGGAACAGGCTGTGAAAACTAAAGAACACTTCAAGAAACTTAACTAAATTGATCATAATCCTGGGACTCTACCAGCATTCATCCAGAGGTTAAGATGAGTAGGTCCCATTAGGAGTCTTCACACTCCTTTTCTCCATAATAGGCATGATTCCTTATGTAGAAATTTGTAAACTCCTCCTGGGACCAATCAGCTTGTCAGGTAGGTGGAGAATAACTATTTATAGTCAAAGCCAGAGCAATAGGTCTGTCTCTTCATCTTTTTATCTACTTCACTTCCCTCTGCTTTCCTACATCAAGAATTTGCGAGCATGGAGGAGCCCTCCTCTGAGGGTCAAGGCAATGATTAATGATGCCGGTTGGCATCATTAGAGCAGTCTAAAGACAATGTGAGATCAAATGAAAGTGCTGGCAGAGAGAAACCTCCAAAAGACCTTCCCTCATTCTTGCAGCAACTTGCCGGTTATGAGCAAGTATGTTTTGGGAGAACAAATCACCTGAAGCAGTTTCACACATGGCTTTCTGGCTCATGGTCTGAATCAATGTTGGTTGCATGATGAAAAAATGGAACTGTTCAATCTGTCTTTGTATTCCTCTAGAGTATTTTGGGGTTTATGCTTTTAAAGATAAGTGATACTGCACAGCACATGACCAAGAGCTCATCAGATGTTTTCAGAAATTTGGAAAGGGATCAGAGGAAACTGCAAAACAGTGTATAGTTTCAATACAGCACTGCAGGAGAACACTGCATTTCAAGCTTCGGTAACTCTTTCCAGTCCTCATGCAGCTTTTTGGGCAACACTCTTAAGTTCAGCTCTGTCAAATGCATTAGGCTGACCGGCTTTGCTCAGAGCTTTTGAGGGCCACCCTCCAAAACACTCCGGGAATCGCCAGGCTTTCCTCCTGTGCTAAACCATGCTCCATGCTTTACACACCAGCTACTTCAACACCCCAAAGCCCGACCGCGAGATCCGTGGGCTGAGGCCACTCATTCATTTCGCCGCGCTCGCCCCGGGGGCTCAGCGACAGGCATGCGCTCGGCCGGTTACCTTGATGCTCTTGAGATCAATTGCTGGTTCTTTGGGCTTGGCTGGCGCGGGTGCTGGCGCGGGGGCAGGCGCCGGAGCGGGTGCTGCTGCTGGCTTCTTTACGTCCTTCTTTGGTGCCATTTTGTTGCGTTGGGGTTTGAAAGCAAAGGTGCTCCAAGGAAAAGGGGGGAAAAAAACCTTAGAAAACCCTTAAAAATGATTCCTGGGAGAGGAGCGGTGGTCAGAATGATCTACAGCCTGTGCCTTGGAGGTGGACCCAGTGTCTTAGGCTCTATAAGGGCATATATATATTTCACTTAGTGCCTCGTACAATCCCGACGCATGCAGCTGGATTGGACAGTTGGCTAATCAAGGGGGATGTCATTCCAGCTCGGGCTATAAATGGAATATACGATCTCAGGGCTTCATAAGATCCAAGGGACTTCAGTGGCTTTCCCCTCCTTCCCTTCTAAAACCCCTGACCACCTTCGTTGTATTTTTTTTGATGTGGGGAAAAGGAGAGGGGAAATATGGCAAATCCCATTTCAGCTCTTCCATATCTGTTCTGACACGGATTGAATGGACCTTTTTCTCGGCAGAATTTGAGTTTTACTTTAGCAATAAATCTTCCTTTCCTTCCCTCCCCTTCCCCCCCATGCCTACGTATGTCTCCAGGAGTGTTTGGTTTCAAGCAGGAATTTTGACTTTCACGGCTGGGAAGATCATCAGTTTCCAAGCTCATTTGCCTCTCTCCTCAGCCCCTCGCTCCTCCTCTGCTTGCTTCTTTACCAGGGAAGTGTTGATCAAGCAAGGGCTCTGGATATTTAAAAATAAAGCAGATGAATATGGAAAACAGTGCAGCACTTTGAGCCAAGGCATCTCTCCTGGACTCAGAGCTTTTTCAGCTGCTTTGAATATTCCTTCATATCATCTTAAGATGCTGTGTTTGAATTTGGAAATTGTTTCCTTTAATCTTTACCTTTGATCTTTTTTTCCTCCCTCCTACAGATAAGCTGAGCCCTTGATAGAAGCGACATTGGCTGGGTCTTACACTTTTGTAATCACAAACTAGTCACCAGGCAAAGCAAGTGTTTGTTCACTCTAATCCTTAATTCCTTACTTGCCGTTCCACTCATTAGTCTCCAGACTGACCTCTCTGTTGCACTTCTCCAGGTGTCACTAGAAGACACAGCCTTCAGGGGACAGGTTTTCTGCTTTCATTAAACTTTTTTCAGTGTAGTAAAATTGCTTCTAATTACTCCACATTCAGTGATCTTTCCTGTTCCATGTAATTCAGACTTTCTGCAGACAGTCCAGGACTGCTCATCCTTCCCTTGCCTGGCAACCTCTCTGCCACTTGCTCCCCAGGCTGCTGAAAGTCCTTGCTAATAAGTGCTTGGCTCTCACTGGAGAAGTTATTTCTGTTGTGTGATTCCCTTTGTGCAGTGTTTTGTAGGTAGAAATTAGAGGCTGAAGGTCTGGACATCCCAAGCTCAGCAGGGCATCCAAGCACCTGCATTTTTTGTTATTGTATTTTAAAGAAGGTAAAATTAAAGTGCATGTACAGAAATATGATAGTGTGGCCAGAAGATGCATTTTTACTTGAGAAACCTGGGTCCATATCCCTTTGCTCCAGCTTGTGACCTTGAGCAAGTGATTTTTTTTTTTTGCGAGCTGAGTCCTCATCTCTGTCTTATTCTTTTTCTTTTTTGAAACAATAGTCCCATACTGATGAACACAATTCAAAAGCTTGGCCCTCTGTCTCTCCTGTACTGTAAAGCAGAGACTTTGTTTTCTCTTTTCTGCCTCTTTTTCTGGCTTTTGGGAAAGTCTGTTGTTTATGAGCTCTACCAGCTGCCCTGAGGATGCCTGAGCAAAACCTGCCCGCCCTGGGTGCACCGCTGAGGAAGGCAGGGGTGTGAGCGGGGGCTGCTCCCACACTTGGCAGCTCTGGCACGTGGGCCACAGGACAGATGGACACGGTGAGCAGGAGCGAGTGGGACTTGTCCCTGAGGTGGCCGAGGGCTCTGGGTCACAGGCCCAGTAGGCCTGGGTGGCTGATGACATCCTGTCCTCTGCAGAGCTGCTGGCACACAGGGGTCCTCTCCTCCTTGCTGAATGGTCTAGATGCTGCAGGGTTCCCTCAGGGATCACAGGTACTTCCATCGGTGTATACTTGCTCCATGTTTCATTCATATTGTCTGCCTAGTTATATTTGTTCTCATGGTCCTTATATTTTGCTGTCCCAAGGTTGCAACCAAGAGGGAGCTCTCTTTGTCTTTTGCTGGCCTCTATTTTAATTCTTAAATCACCTGCTGCCACAAGCTTTAAGGTGTTAGTCATGTATGCTCTTGTAGCACACTTTGTGCATCCCTGTCTTCTGCAGCCCCCTGCTCGGTGCTGCTGAGGCCACACTGCAGACCTCTGCAGTGGTGCTGGTGCCTTATGTTGCAGAAACCAAACTTAGCAAAAGTTAGCAGCAGAATTGCATTCTGACAGTATATCTTATGTAGAGATAATCTGAAATAGCTTTATGTGTGCCCCTAGGCCTGTTGAGAACTTTGATGGCAACAATGGACCTCAAAGATGTAGTCATTTCCATAGCCACCTTTGGGCTGTAATAAGATAAGCAACCATTAAATGTGATTTGAAAAGAGGACCTGGCTTCAGAACATGAAGTGTGACCTTAAGGCTGGCTCTGCATGACAGGGTCTGAGGATTCAGGTGCACCTGGATGTGCCTCATGCCACCACAAAGGTATTTACATGAAGTAATTGTATATTGATGGAGCAAGAAGAATGGGTGCAAATGAGAGAGGATGATGGGTCCCTATCCCACTTGCAGGCCCCAGGTGAGATGCATGCTCTTCCTCTCAGTTTCTGCACTTCTGGCTTGGTTTTAACCTGAATCCCCTGGACAGAGCTGTCACAGAGCCTGGGGAGTTTGGCCTCTACAGTAATTTGTATGGGGTTCCTCCCTGGCCAAAAGGACCATTGCAAGTTCAGCATGCTTCTGGTCCAGAGCATGCTTAAAAGTGTCTTCCTTATCTTGTTTTGGGAGATGATTGGCAAGACTGTCACAGGACACCAGATTAAGCACTAAAGGAAGAGTTATGGTCATTCAGAAGGCACTTGGTTTCAGGCAAGATGTGTAACACTGAGAACACACACTGTTTACAAATACCTAAGGGCTCTCAACCTGTTCCAGCCTCTCCTTAGGGTGTTTCTTCTGTCCTGTACCCACTTATCTTCTCTAATCTCAGCTGTCTGACACAGCCTTCGTTTCCTGTGATAAACTCCTGTCTGACACCTGTTGCTGTTAAATATTTGTTGTGTGCCCCCCTTGAAGGTTGGGTGGCTGCAATGTCAGCAGGAAAAGTAGTGAGTGTACGTGCAGCGTTTGGCAAGCCACGAGGCTTTGGGAAATGCTGAAACCTGGTTGGAACTGTGCCTTGGTAAAACCATGTCCTTACTCCTTCAGTGGGTAGAGAAGTGATTCCATTATATAAAGCCACCAGGAGGACAGGGAAGTTCATGGAGAAGCTTTTGGAACAGAAAGGAAGGTGGTCCAGTGAAAGTCAAAGCTGATATGAAGGAATTATGCTTTTTCTGTACTGTTGGATTGGGAAATTCCCTGTCATGGGGAAGAGTTGAGGCCAATAGCATGATAAAATGTAGAAAGGAATCAGACATTTAGGTGATATCAGGAATATCAGAGTAACTGCAATTCATAGCAAGCCTTGAAGGCAGAGTATAGAATCCATATCATAGTGCTTTGGCTTTTCTTGAGCTGAGAGAGACCTGGTGGATTTTTCTACATCAAGATACTGCAGAGATTCTTGTACTCCCTCTGAACCATATGAATTTTGTCTATAACAGATTATTGTCTCTTGTCAAGTGCCTCATATGGAGACACTTGCATGTGATGGACATTACCTGGGGATGACTTTACATAATGACAAATTGAATTATATGCAAAAGAGATGGTCAGAAGTGGGGTCTGAGGCAGGGAATGGTGATTCATGGAGCTGGAGAGCTCAGACGCCTGAGACCCTCTGCAGACCTGAGGGAGATGCTGTGTGTGTGAGGAGGGTGAACTTGCCTCTTGGCTCCTCAGGTTGCTCTGAGAAGTGCTGAACACTTCTCAGCCCCTGAGCACAGCTGGGGCTGTATGGCAAGAATGGGGTAATGTGGGCTGGAGTTGAGGGGCACCAAAGGAGCAGGCACGGGAGTGGATGTATGGAGAAGGAGGTGCGATGCGGTGGGAGCAGGGCTGGGTGGGAGCTCTCGCGGCGGGCCGGCTGCGCGGTCCTGCGCATTGCTGGGGGCAGGGAGGGCACCAACTGGCGTGCCACATATAGCCCCGGCTGACTTAGCACTTGTGCTGCGCCGCCCTCCTGCTCCAGGGCTTCTAATTCCGGCCGGGCAGCTGGCGGGGCGGCAGGCGGGACATTCCCCGGAGAGCTAGCCAGCATCTCCACCACCCTGTCCCTGCCCATGGGGTGACAGCGGCGGGGGGAGAGCAGCTTCCCAAAGCTGGGTCTGGTCCTCGGCCTCCCTGGTGATTTAGGGGCCACCTTGGCTCCTGGATGTGTTCCCAGCACTGGGATTCCCTGGGGAAGAAGCTGAGCTGCTCAGGTGCTCTTTGCTGTTTGCTTTCTGCTGTCCCGTACAGTTCTCGGATACTTCTTGGCCTCTGTGGCCACATGAGCCTTGGTTTGCACAGCACGGTGCTCCCGAATGGAAGAGCCTGGTTAAATGATACCCAAGTAGGAGTGAGCAGGACTGTGTCTGGCTCCTGTTCCCCGGCTCCTTTGGCAAGAGCTGCACTTGAGGCAGGATTGATTGAGGATTGAGGAGATTGATTCTCACTGGGCAGGATTTTTTTACCAAGGAAAATGCTAGCTGGCAGCCCCGATGGGATGGCTCCTACTACGTGGGTTTAAAAGCAAAGATGAAGCACTGTGAGGTGCTAATCCTGGCACTCCCCTTCATGCTGTACGTGATAAAATCCCAGTGCCACTTTGGGCAATTGGGTTTCCCACAGCTTCAGTGTCCCACGTGCTGCAGAGGTTCATTCCCTTTCCTTTTCCCACCCCTCCTTGGGGTGTGCGGCACAAAGATGCAGACTGTGTCTTTCTCCAGTCCATCTGCTAGGAGGTGGAATGACTTCAGCAGTGGAAAGGGCACTGAAGGATACTCAGTGCATGGCCCAGCGTCCCCGCATACCTGTGTTGCCTGGAAAGTTTCAAAGTGACTTACGGAGCACCAGCCTCTTCCCCTTCCTTTCCTCCCTTGTCCTCTTGACATAGAGTATCCCAGAAAACTTTGAATCGGCTCAAGAGCTAAAGGCCAATCCACTTGCTGGGGTGAATCTCCCCATCTCTGGTGGTGTGTGTTAAGTTTTGCTCCTTTTTTGTCAAGGATGATCTAGGCTTGAAACCTCTCAAAACTCAGGGAATAAATAAATCCTTGTGTGTTTCTGTATTTCCTGTAGTCTACAGGCTTTGGGAAATCTAGTGGTGTCACGATGTAGACCTCTTAGCTTTGTGACCATCAGGAAGGCTTCTTTGCAACAACTGGTGCTGTGGGAGCCTTGCAGACCCGAAGCTAAAAGTAGATATTGTTTTTATGGATGTATGGTCTGTGTTGCTGAAACAATCTCCACCAAATGTGCTGTATGCATTGGTTTGAACACTGCCAAACCTTCAGATGTTGTGAAATGTCTGCATCATAGATGCATCAGAACATGCTGTTCTCCAAATTCATGAATTTTGCTGGTTTAGATTTTTTTAAGAAAAGCTTTATGTACCTCAATTGTTTGTAAACCTTGAGAATTCCCAGCAAGAGCAAAGCTGTAAAAGCTGGATTTTTTTCAGTTATTTCCATGTTCAATGATAGATTGGGTTTATGGAACCTTTATAAGGCTAAACAAATGTCTATGCATTTTGAACCGTATCCTTGAAGATGTTGGTCTTGGGGGAGAGCAGGGATGTACCTATGCTGTCAGCTGATCAATTGCTTCCTTTGTCTGAAAATTGAAAAAGAGAATCCAACCAGCACTGCCAGGATTTACCAGCCCTCATATAGATCCATACAAGACCCATAGCAGCCCTTGGTTCAAGGCTGCCTATGGCCTTGCTCCCTCCAGCAGCCTCAGGTGAACCTGGCTGAGGTGTTCCAGCTGCTGCTGAGATCTAGCCTTTTGGGCTGGTGCTCCCGAGAGCTCTGTGCTCCCCACCTGAGGAAACCGAGCACTTTGAGCCCCTCGCACCAGAGCTGCTGGTGGGCCCTGGCCGCTGACCCTGGGGAGCTGTGGTGCTTGCACAAGTAAAGGGTCTCCTCCGGGACGAGTCAAGTGCTCTGCTGACTTGCTTTAAATAGCCGGCTGCTTTGGAGACCCTTATTTAGCTGTAGGGAGGCGAGTGACATGGTGATGCTCAAGAATGTCATTTTGCTTCTTGTGTGACCTATGAGATCAGACATGGTTAGCAGGAGATATACAGTGACCCTCACAGAAAATTGTTGGACCTGGGCCCTAGAAACCCTATGGCGCCAGCAGGGTGTCAAAACAGGGGTGGCAAAGGACCCTCTAGGGACTGTCCCCTCTAGGGTGCAGGTGATAGCTGAATGTCCCATGAAAGCTGCTCGTGTCCCCTGCTAGGGGCAGTGCAAGTGGCACCTGCCTCCTATGAAGCTCTCCTAAAGAAACCTCTGGGCAGGTGTTGGTGCTTACATGGCACAGGGCTACCAGGTAGCCCCCTCTGCAAGAGCCCTCACTATGAGCAGGGCTTGGGTTTGTGTGCTTTGCCTCAGTGGCCAAGCCTGCCTTTCTCCCTGCTCATTACAGCTCTGTCAAAGTCAGTTGCGAAGTGCTGTGCAATACGAGATGGCTTCAGAGCCACCAGGGAGAGGCTGGTGACACACTTGATGGAGTCTGTTACCCCAAAGGTACTCCAGAAATGCCAGTTATTTTTATTAAATACTTTTGTCCCAAATTCATCCCTTCAGAGCAGCGCTGTTAAGCTGATTGAGCTGCAACAGTTGGCCGGGGGTTTTGGATGTGTCTGTGCAGATGTGACTCTTAGTTTTAACCCTTTCTTTTCCTAGATTTCTACTTTTTCTTCTGTAGAAAAATTTCAGAACACGGACCTGGGATCAAGAAGTGCAGCTGGGCCCTAAGTGCCAAAGGCAGTTTGGATGAATGGCCACAGCAAGAGGTGGTAGAGCAGGAGAGGTCTTAGTTCTACAGCCCTGGGGCTCTGGAATAAGCAGGCGATTAGAGTTAATCCACCTCCATCCTTGCTTCTCTCAATTTCTTTGCCTTTGGTGGAATTATGATGTTTAGGGAATTCTCCCAGTTGCCAGCAATGCTCCCACAATTACCCTGAGCTCTGGAGCAGCCTCCAGGCTTGCAGAGGTGGAGAAGATCTGAGGTTTTCCAGTTGGAGGAAAAATTTAGTAAGGAAGGGCACAAAATGTGTCAATTTAGGCTTCTCAACTTTAGGCTAGAAGTGAACTCAAATCCAATCAAATCACATATCTACTTATATATCACTTTTAAATCTCACAGAGTGAGAACAGCAAGAGGAGGATACCCAGCCATTTTCTTATGAGGAATGTCTCTTTAATTTCCCCTCTGACATCTTATGCCACAATAAAAGGTATGGAAAGTAAGTGTTAATGTCACTGCCTGTCTGTTTTACAAGGCAATAATTCACCACTTGGAATGCATAGACTATTCAGTTGGAGGCTAAGTAGTTATCAGAACAAATGAATTGGATTATTGCTGATGAAAAACAGAGAAGATGAAACTTGGTATTGTGAAAATGACAAAAGAGATGGCAAGTGGAAAATGAATGTCTTATTATGAAATGCATCCAAATGCTGCATCTGTGGGGCTCCAAAGCCTGCGGACATTTGTACTCATCTGAGATCCCTACATCAAGCTCTGTTCCCCATGTGCTTGCAAAGCACTGAGTCAACCCTGCTGGAGCAGGATAGTTCCCAGCTTTGCCTTGTATAAACTCCTAGGAGTTTCTCCTCCATGCAATAAATGACCAGGGGTTCCCAGGCGCTTCCATTGGCAACTTCCCACTGCTGGTCCAGAGCCCAGAGCTTCCTGCAAATGAGTTTGTCAGGCTTGTAAATGCTAGGGGCCATAGTCTCTGATGGAGCAGAGTCCTGTTCTGGGAGCTGCTGCTCTGTATCCCATGTGGCTTTTGCCTTGTGCTGGCCTGCGGTAGCTGCTGCTCTTCCTTGTGGTGCAGAATGAGCTGCAGGCTCCTCATGGGTAACCCTGGGTGTGTGTCCGCTCCTCCAGAGCTAGTGTCTTAATGCACCCTTCTCATGCTTGTTTAGACTGTGTCTTTGTGGTATCTTTCTTATTTGGTGTCAATGTTTCATTTTTTCAGTCACTTGTAAAATCTGATCCCTTCCCCAGTAGGGTACATCATGGGAATGGTGACAGTGAACAAGGCATCACTTTGGTGAAAGATCAGGGTGCTACAAAACAGCTCCTAAAACAGCCCCCGTTCCTTCTGGGAACAGGGAATCCAGCGCAACTCAAAGGTGCTTGGACCCCTCCTGCAAAAAGGCTGCTCAGTGGGACCACGGTCTCCCCTTCAGCATGCCTTAAGGAAGGGCATTCGGTAGCTATAATAAAACCCAGCCAAATGGTGGAAATATGATCAGCTCCTCAATTAGCATGATTAGAGCCAACAGCCGCTTGCAGAACACTTGCTGCTGCTCTGTATGCAGCTGCACACTACAGTGCAGCTATTTATGGGCCGGGCTCCAGCGGGATTTATGGATGGTGATGAGCTAGCAGTGGATTTGGTTACTGCCCCAGCTCGCTGCAGACATTGCAGCGAGTTGTGTAGCAGCTGCAGGGCGAGCTTTGCATGAGGGCTGCCCAGCAGCAGCTCCCCTGGCCTAGCTTATGTGTCCTGGAGCCGTGAGGAGATGGAGTTGAGTGGCTCCCTGCAGCTACGCTCCCCTTTTCCCTTCTTAAGCTTTGTGTGGCTATGCCCAGCACAGCCTGAGCATCTTCTCCTGTCCTGGGCCTTTCCCTCGTTGCAGAGAATTGAGAATTCCTGTGACCACCAACCTTTTTGATGGGATTGCCATTTTTCACCCTCTGGAGAAAGCAGAGGACCCAACACCTCGGGACAGGCTGAGGTTGACTGTAAGGTAACCTGTGGAGCACTGGTGGGTGGCCAACAGGCTTGACTTTTGTCTCTGGAGCTATCTGTGAGAAAGGGACTGGGTCCCTCTTCCTTCCTCTGATGGCAACTCTTAGTGTCCAGGTGACCTGAAGATTGCAGATAATGTTGTTCTGTGAAGGGTCTTGGGTGCTCCTGTGTGGTGGTGCTCAATGCTTGTCCCTGGGACAGCAGGAGGGCACAGTTCTTAAGGTTAACTACTTAATCCTACCTAGCACTTTGCCTTCCGCTTGGGGTTCAAGGGCAACAGATTCAAATCCAGAGGAAAACCTCCTGTCCTCCTGCCAGGGCAGTGTGGGACAGGAACAAGACCTGATACTTTCTTATCCCTTGGAAAGGCAAGGGACCCAAGGGAGAAATAAATGTGACAGAGTAAAGGAGAAATTGCCTTCCTATCTACCAGCTTGAAGTGAAGACCCCTCTCTCAGGCTGTTTGAGGAGCATCCCCCTTGTTTCCATGATGGAAGAGTCTCTGTCCTCTCCAGAAGGGGAAAAAAATTAGAGCTTAGTTGCTGGGATGCTTTAATATAGCAAGGCTTGCTGTTAAGGTCAACACAAGCAGGTTTATTAGCTAGGCCTGAAATCCGACCGACCATTCAAAGTTAATTAAACTCCTCCCAACTCCCACGTTCAGCTGTTGCCCAAGGAATGGCTTCGAAGTGGCTGTAAATCAGCGCAGCTCCGGGGCTCTCCTGGCTGAGATGCTGGCTCCAGACCTTGCTTGCTCTGAGGATTTTTCCAGAACATCCCTGCTGTCTAGAAAAGCTAAGGTAAGGAGGGAAAAGTAATGGCAAACACAAGGCCCAGGGAGTGAGATGCAGGTCTGAGTGAAGCCCTATGTTAGGTGAGGGGCACCTGCACTTTCTCCATGATAGAGCTGTCAAAAGGAAGCTGTAAATTCAGGAATAACTGTGTGTTTCAAAAAATCACCTTGTCTTTAGTGGCTTTGTTAGGAGTCCTGCCCTTTGGAGGTATTCCTGGATCCTGGCTCTGAGGGAAGCAGTTGGATGCAGGAATAGCTTAAGAGAGCCAGGGATTGCCTGCACCTGGCTCCCTTTGTAGTTTGTGGGAATGGGGAGCAGTTGGTAGGAATACTTGTATGATGTAGGAAAGATGAAGTGGGAAAGTGGGAAGTACAAAGCACTTCCACATAATATGGGGAATGTTTTCCCCCAAACCTGTCTCCTCAGCTGAAGAGAGGGTTGTCCTCCTCTTGCAGTGGAGTTTGGCAGGACTGGGACAGAGCTTTTTTCCCTAGGTCTAAGCTGGGCCTTGCAAGGCCTGGTTCCGGAATGGAGCCACAAAACTGTCTGTCCCCGATGAGATTCCCGCGGCGTTCCCACCAGCCTGCTGACCTGGCTCCTCTCAGCTGCCCCACTTATCTCAAGTTTCCTATCGGACATCGAGAGTAAGTTGCATCTCTCAGCAAGGGGCTGGATATTTGTGCTGACAGAGCTAGAAGCCTGTGGGGAAGCACAGCCAGACACTTAAATCTGTCTTACAGTAAAAAAGACTTTTTTTGGGCCTAGCTTGCCCCATCTGTTTAGTCTAGACAGGGCTTCCTTCTCTTCCCTTTGAAGAAGTGCTCATTGCTAGCAGGGATGGAGGAGGGACAGGGCTTTGCTGCTGCTGGGTCCCCTCAGCTGGTGTCACAGCTCACTGCTGTATCCTGGCCTCTGGAAAGGATCCCTGTTGGTTTTAAAGGCTGGTTATCCCAGAGGAGCTCTTGTTCTATCTATGAGGCTCTGTCTGACCTTCTAGGGCACCTTCCCCAGGAGAGCCTCCTGGGGCCAAATCAGTTGGAGCTGGGATTAACTCTTGCCCCAGTCTTATGCTCTTTTTTTATTCTGCCTTAGATGCTGGAAGCAGGAACTGATCCCTTTCTTACCCTTATTCCTGGTACCCCATTGACTCCTAATCAGATGTTCCAGCATGTCCAAGCTGTTTCAAAGACTTAACCTGCCCTGCTTGTTGTGCTATCCCTGCTGTGGCTCTTCCCGCCCCAGAACCCCAATGTGGCTTTTGCTGCCCTGTGAGAAGGGCTGGGGCTCTGGGCCAGGCCCAGTGGGCTCCGCTCGCTGCTCCGGGCGTTCCTGCCATCGGGCTGCATTGCCACCTACTGGGGACACTGCCTCCTGCTACAGCCCCCACCACCCACGCTTGTTAGCTGTCTCCCCAAGCCTGTGACAGGTCCCCCCTGCTACCTACTCCTAATCCTACCCTCCAGAGCTTGCAGAGGAAACCCTGTTTTTCCCTCTTTTTTTTTTTTTTTGCTGTTTTGCAGCTGGCCCTTGTGCAGAAGCTGCTTCCAACCCAATCTGTCGGTGAGAGGAGCTGTCCTGGGACAGAACCCCATGGGAACCCATCCAACACCCACACGGAAACACTCAAGCTGGACCACAGGGCCTCACAGTGAGAACTGCATCACCAGCCCCACAAGGGCTCCTTCAGAGGCATCACGTTCTTGAAACCCCTTCAAGAGGAGATGCTGAAACCTGCCCCAGGCTCCCTGACCCTGATGCCAGTAGCCAACTTGTGGACTTCAGCATGTTTCCTCAGGTGGTTCTTGTGGGGCAGCTCTGTACTGAAAAGACCACTCTGCACTGCTGCAACTGGAGAGGTGAAAGTGGCTGAAGCATTCCAGCAGCATCTATTTACCTTGTTTATTACCATGTCTGATGGTCTGTGTTTATCTGTGGTTCTGTGATGTGTAGTCACTTACCCTGTGTTCAATGTGCCTGGCACCTTAGCCAGGGGGTGAGTGCCCTTTCTTGAACACTAAGGGTGTGATTCCTTTTTCATAAAGGGGGAAAAAACACTCCAAAGAATGTGTTTTTAGTGTTTTATTAATTAATGTACCACTTGCCACAGCTATGCCTGGCCCTGGTGACTGAGACCGATGCAGGACCCTGGCACACAATGCTGCTGTGACACTGTAGGCTGCACAAACCACCTGCGGGAGCAGAAACAATGCCCAGGAGGGCTCCAGGCTTGCAGTGGGCGTCCCTGTGCTGCCACCTCAGCTGGGGGAGCCACCTCCTGCTGTCCTCATGCTGCTGGGTGAGTGAAACCCTGCTCTGTGTGTGGTGCAGTCGCTTTCCCTGCTGTTGCAGCTCTGCGTGTGGAAAGGACACTGAGGCTGCAAGACTTGGGCTTCCTCAGGGGACACCCACCTGAAAGCAGGGGAGCTGCTCTGCACTTTAGGCTCTTCAGCACAAACCAGCTGAGGAGGGTGGTGGCTGGGGTGAGGACATGAACCTTGCAGGCGCTGGCTTCTAGTGCCAGCCCGTCCATGAGGTGCATGTGGCTCTGCTGGTCCATTCCCATGTGGGCTGGGCAGTCCCCTGCAGCCACAGCAGGATCAGACACCTGCAGGGCACCTGTGTTCAGCTCATGCTTGCTTGAGGTTAAAACAGGGGCTCTCGGGGCCAGCAAAGCCACTTTGCCCCTTGCAAGGATGTAGTTACAGCTGCCAGCCCCAAGCTTTTGGCTGAGGGTAGGTTTTTCCAGCTCCTAGTTTGGATTTGTGCTTGCACATCAAGCTACAACACCATGGGGGTCACTCAAACTGCCCAGGCTTAGCAAAGCTCATAAAACAAAGCCTCTGAAAACATAAAAAAGAGCATAACAAAAAATGCCATCTACACCAATAACAGGTTTAAACACTGACAGAATTCAGTGCTGCTGCTTAGGGGCTTGGTTCCATGTAATACCTAGAAGGCTCATGCCCAGTTTTAAATACAGACGGAAAAAACAAATTTGAAGGTGAAGAGAGGAGACCCCAGCAGCAAGCACTCTTGGCTTACTTTGAAGTTTGCCATTCAACGGACTATGGACTTGGGGAAGATTTATTCTAAGACTGAGACTAAGCACAAAAGCCACTGGATTATTTGTTTGCCTATCACTGAAAAAAATGCCCAAGAACCTCTAGATAACAGCCTGTGTTTACAGAGCAGCCAGTGTAAATCTAGGATGAGGCTCCAGCTGTGCTGCTTGCAATCTGATGGGAAAGATGGATACAGAGAGTCTCCAGTCCATTAGCTTCACGTCACAGGCACAGTCCAGCTCCTGAGCTTCCTGCTCCCTGAATGGTCGGAAAGCTTTAGAAGCAAAGAGCAGGGCAATAGTCTCAGTAGCTTATCTCTTGTTTTCCAGAGGTAACTACATTCCTATAACTGTCAGCACAAAAACACTAAGTGGGCAAAGGTAGGTTCAATATAAATCTCTCTCCCACTAAATGGGATACAGAAAATAGCAAAACTCTGTAAAGCCAACAAAATACTATATATTTCCTTGCTCCCATCTCTGTGTTTTTAGAGGATGCCAGCAAAACTCACATTCTGACTTTTAAATAAAAATAGTGCAATGAGATGAATATAAATATTAAAGAACTTAGTGTAATGAGGATGGATTCATGTTCAGTAGGTAAATGATGAGTCTGGAAATAGGAGAATGCAACTTTGAACTGCTTTTCCAAGTGCAGCAGGACTCAGGCGGGGAATGGCCAAGCTCAGGTTTAGAGTTCAAACGCAGGGAACTTGGCCTTGGTCGGCACCAGCAGGTCAGCCAGAAAGTAAATTGTTCCAGCCATTCCTGAGGACAGAAGAAGACAATGTGCTCGAGAGAGACTCCCTTTGGGTACCCACAGCGGCAGCTAGCTGCAGGGTGCACAAATGAGTCATGAAGCCAGAAGCAAAGAAAATGTCATCTGAAGGAGCAAAATCACTTCTAAGGTCTGAAGGTAGTTCTCCCAAGCCACCCGGGCACTTGAGGGGGAAGAGCATTGGAAATTAATCAGATACTGAAAATAGCCTTAAACTAGAAGAGCCTCCCTCCTTTCTGCCCCTTCCCTAGTGCTTTACCTGTCCTTGGGTTTAAGCATGTGAGTGCTGTTGCAAGGGTGATGCTTTGCTTCTGATGCCTCACAGATGTAACTGGCCGTGTTTAGGCACTGCAGCAAAGCTTGGGAGGTTTCCAGGAGCTGAGGAACTGACTTGTTCAGCAATCCCTGCTGATGGCACGGTTTTGGGAACAACAAGACAATTCCATTTGTTTTTCCCTGATACCTCAAATGGAACTGGAAAGTCCAGGAAGGATTTTAGTCCTTATAAATACCAAGAGGAGCAAAACTGTCTGAGAAGCCAGGCTGCAGCTGCTGCAAGGTAAACTTTGGCTTGTGCCCATTAAAGATTCCTCTTGAGGCTTGTGACCTGGAGTCCTAGAAACACAAGATGCTCCAGCTGCAGCCACAGCATGTGCTACAGGAAGACTCTTGAGAATGGCGAAATACAGCACCTACAGTTTCCCTCCCATCTTCTACACTGAGTTTTGAATTCAGAGAAAGGTGTATGCAGTTCTCAGTGCTGGACTGGCTCTTACCCAGCTGTAGAGCAAAGATTAGAGAGGGACATTACCTTCAAAGAGCGAGAATGGAGTGTCTGGAGTCCGGCAGCCGTGCTGGCCATAGCTTAAACACCACTCTGCAAACTGGGAAAGGGGGAACAGAAATGTCCACGTTTTGTTGGAAGATGGATTTTAAAAATTACCACCCCCTCCCTCTCATGCCATCCCAGGGCAGAGCAAAGCTTCCATAGGATACTCCTGCCCAGGCTATGGGGACCGCACTGCAGAGGGGCTGCTGGAGCTGGGAGGATGCAGCCATTCCCTATGGTTCCAAGGGCAGCAGCACAAGGGCAGGTGCCAACAACCCGCGCAGCCTCTCACCTTGCAGGCCCTGTACAGGAACCTCACGTCCTGGGTGAGGTTGTAGAGCGCGAGGAAGCCGTAGGCGTTGCCGGCCGTGCCGTGGCACAGCCCGTAGCCCTTCTTGAGCAGCCCGTGCTGCCAGATGACCTCTGCGCACTGCAGGGCGTCGCTGAGGTACCGCTCCTCCCCGAACACCTGCATGGAGAAGGGCCCTCACCCCCTGCCCAGGCCGCTGCCTCCACCCGGCAGCACCCCTGGGCGAGCAGGGAGGCGCGGGTTAGTTGCAGGCTCCTCTCCTTCTGCACCCTTAATGCTGCTCTTTGCTGCCCGCTCTCCACAGTGGGTGTTTTTAAAGTGATGAATGGGGTTGTAGGATGTTACTCAACACCCACCTGGCTCTCACCATCCTGTGACACAACCCCCTCCATGGCTGGTGGGTATTATCAGAAATCAGTTCTCAAAAGGCTGATTTCCACTTTGCTCAGGGCTCCCCGAGGGGTGATTTCATTATGACAACATTCCTGCTCTCTGGCAGGGGGTTCCTAAGAGTTTTCTCACTACTCAAACTCCATGCTCAGGGGTTCCCAAAGGCTCTTAGGATATCTGGTACCTTGTAGGCCTGAATGAGCATGTAGATAACACCTGGTGCCCCATGGCACCAATGGACGAGCAGGTCCCTGGTGTCATCGATGCATGGAGGGTAATTGCCCGAAGGGAACTTGAGCTGGCAGACGTAATCCACGCTGGGTTTGACCACGTTGTGCAGCTTCACTTGGCTCACCCCGAGGCCAGGCTAAGAGAGGAAGGGGTAAATCAGCGAGAATTGCCACTGTGCCTCCATAAAGAGGCCCAAGGGCTGTGCAAAAGGCACAGACAAAGCTGACTGTTGCAGCCTCCCTTATTGCTCTTTGTACACGAAGTTGTTTCTCTAGTCTGAGCTTTTGTACTTGACTCGCTTGGCACTGAAAAACAGAGCCCCTAGGCTGCTCTGTCCTTCAGCAAGGTCTCGCTTCCAGATGTGCCCTAGGGTCCACAGAAACTGCCTGGCCCTGTTTGCTAGTGAGCCCCCTAAGCAAACAAAGAGAGGGCTTCTGAAGATTAGCAGCAAGCTTCGGCTAGGAGGCGAAGCCCAGGGAAACAAGATTACGGCTGAAAGCCAGGAATAAGTCCTAGGATGCGGGGCACCTCGGCTCCAGTCCAGCCAGAGGGTGGGATGCTGCATTTGCACGGATGTTCTCGGGTAACTGCAAGGCAGTGATTTTGCCACTGATCTCGGATGAAAGCAGGAGAGGGACTTCAGTGCCCTCTTCCAATTATACTGCTGCAGATCAGACCTGTGCACTTCTGACAGACTGCAGTAAGAACTCTAGTCTACAGATCAGGCCGTTCCCAGGTTGTTAACTTGTAAATTAACAAATGATACTTGTGCTGTAAAACCACAGCAGATAAAATTTCAAGTGTCCTCTCTCTGTACATTGCTCACTGCTTCCCCAAGACTTTCTGTGCCTGTTCTTCCCATGTAAAAATTGTGGAAAAAACAGTATCAAAGCAAAAGGGCGCAGCAGCTCTTAGCTCCTTGTCTCACAGTGTCTGCTACAGGCACTATAGACCTCAGCTGCTTTGTAAAATAAAAGCCCTAGCCTTTAATATTTGGATATAAACTCTGATTTGGAAACCCAGGAACTTCCCCCTGTCCTACTCTGGCTTTCATCTCTTTCACCAGTCTTTTTACATGGGGATTTTCACTCTGAAAGCATGTGAAGTTGCTCCAGGGAACCAGCTCAGAAACACTGCAGGGTATTTGCTACACATGGGAGCAATTCACAGCAATTAGCACAAGGAATGAGAGCTCAGAGGAGCCCAGCCAGACATGGCTTCGCTCGGTGAAACTGCTGGTATAACGCAGCTCCCACCTGCCTAGGGTGGAGGAAGGAAATCCAGCCTCACGGATGTGGAAAAATCCCTGGAAGGCGGGATGAATAACCCAACAAGGGAGTGTGCCTGGCCTGCCATCACACAGGGGCACTGCTGCTGTTCCCCCTTGTTCAAAGAGAAGGGAAGCAGCTGCTGAAGGCCCATTCCCTCCAGCTGCCTCTTACCTGCATGAGATAGTAATAAATCCCAGCCAAGCCATGGGCCGCCCCGACGTAGTACTCCTGGTACCACTCGTACATGAGCGGGCTCTTTGCTGTGAAGTTCCTTCTTTTGGCCAAGTTCTCTCCTGAGGCCACAACTGCTTCGCAGACCTATAGAGAGCAACAGAGCTGGGTGAGGGAAGTGCCCTGGGAGCATCTCGGAGCAGCACGGTGGGTATCCTAACAGGGAACAAAGCCCTGGGCTGCTGCTGTTCCGCATGTGTGCAGGGAAGCCTGTGGATGAAGGAGTAAAAGAGCTGCCACTTCAGCAGTGTGTGTGTATGTGTAAGGATTACACAGAATCACAGAATGGTTGAGGTTGGAAGGGACCTCTAGAGATCATCTAATCCAACCCCTTTGCTCCAGCAGGGACACCTGGAGCACAGGGCACAGGAGTCCAGGAGGGCTATAAATATCTGCAGAGAAGTAGACTCCACAACCTCCCTGGGCAGCCTGTTCCAGTGCTCTGTCACCCTCACAGTCAAGAAGTTTTCCTTCAAATTCAGACAACTTCCCATGTTTCAGGAAGTCCTTTTGTTCCAGGGTATCTGATACCCTATCCCTTTGGAAAAATGATACCAGCAGTGGGGATACGTGGACATGTTTTTAACTTCTTGCCAGAGCTCTAGCAAGTTTCTACGTGCCCAGCAATAAGCTGGGTAGGAAGAGACAGAGGGCTGATTTAGCCTTTGCTTTTAGGAGCCACAGTACCTGCTGAATGTGACTCTGTGGGATCTTTTCCTCCCCGAAGTGCTTGTTCACAAACAGCAACGCGTAGAGGTAGCCCATGCGCCCGTAGAGCAGCTCATCCGGCGCCCGGGGGTCCACCTTGTGCAGGTGCAGCAAGCTGCAAAGGAAAACGCATCCAGGTGAATTACAGGAGCAGGACAGCCCAAGCCACGTAACCTGCAGCTCAGAAACACTACAGGCCCCTGAAGCTGCCCCCTGCCACACGCAAGAGCTTTGTACCATTTTTCAGGCTTCTGGTGTGTTGTGAATGGGGTGATAGGCCTGTGGTGCTAGCACGGACGGACAGAGCACATTTTTCTCCGTTTTGCTGCTTGTCATACCTCCAATAAGGCTGCGTGTCCTTCCCTGTCACAGCAGGATGCAGGGAGCAGCCTGGTTTTAGCTTTATTTTGCTCTTCACCCAAGGCAGCAGCCTGAAAAATGCCAGCCCTTTTTAAAAGCATCACAGGGAGCAGCATCACAGGAAGGATGGTACAAGGCGCCAGGGGAGCAGCTGGCCTGCAGACTGTGCTTCTTGGGCACAAGAGGGGGAACTGAGGACCCTGAAGGAAAACCAGGGCTCACAAACCTAATATCTCAGCTACAAAAAAAAAAAACCAAAAAAACAAAAAAACAGTGTTTTCTGGTTAGAGGGAGAGTGAGGCAGTTGTACAGTGAGATGGGATTTTGCAGGCCACTGGCTCTCAAAGGAAACCCTTGACCCCCTGAATTGGTGGGAGATGGCAGGTTAAAGAGGACTCCTGGAACACAGATCAGGTTTTCACAAGCTCCTGGAAAAGAGGCTGCCCTGAAATACTAGGTCTCTCCAGAGTATAAAGTACATTTATTGATCATGAACTCATTTTGGCAAGAGCAAGTAGCCAAAAAAAGCAACTTCTGCCTCTTCTGCTGCAGGGAGAACCTGGCTGATGAATTCTCTCCTCAGGCTCTTTTTCTGTAGTATGTTCAGCTAACTGCTCTGGGAATTGGCTGGCAGTAGAGTAAGGACAGTGTAACTTGCTTCAGGAAAGCCCCATTTTTCTCTTCTCAGACTTGTGAAGACGCCTGTTTCCTTGGCTCTGCCCTTATTATGACATTAGGTGGCAGTGCAGAACTAATCTTTTTTCCCCTTCTGCCACATAAACTATTGACAGGACAGGGGAGATACAAGGAGGAGAGAACTGCGGCAAGAAAATATGAACTGGGCACTTCCTACAGCTTGACTACAGCCCAATCACAGCTGGCCAGTACTGTTGGACACCTTAGTTCTCTCTCTGTTAAATATATAAATCCTAGTGATCTTCACTAGGATCATTGGTAGATTAATCAAATTGCTGACTAAACTATGTTATTTCAAGAAGAAAGAAAGGTGTTCAGGCCCCTTGACTGGCTATAGCTGCATAAAATAGAAACTACTCTTAGTAAAGGCATGGGAACCGAGTGTTCAAATCTCAAATTCAGGTACCTCTGATTCCTGATTTGTTTTTTAACTGGTATTATTAATCAATTGCTAATGGCCATTCAGTGTCAATCAGAAGTTGCTGAGTTCTGTCTTACTAGTGTGCTGACTAGCACATAAATGGAAACTCTATCCAGGGCTGTTTCTCACCTTCCCAAATCTCCCTTCTCCAAACAAGAAAGCTTGCTGCTGCAATGTCTCCTTTTCCTATTTTTTCCCTTACTCTGTCACCTCCCTATCTTATCACAGGGTTGTTTACAGGAACTTGCTTTTGTTGGCTACTTAAAGCAAAAAAAAAAAAAAAAAAAAAAAAATTGAAGAAAGGCAGGAAATAAATGAATGAATCAAAACCAATTGCATTTAGCACTTGGAGTGGCACTTAATCATAGGTTTAAGTCAAAATCAACTAACAAGTAATAAGGGGAAGACAGTGATCAAATTCTTTTAATAATCCTGCCCCATCCCTTGTTTTCATCAAAATGCCTGTTAAAACTAAATTTCAAGGTTCTTAAAAAATCCTGCAGCCCAGTTGGTAGTTTTTGTTTGTTTGATGGGTTTTGTTTTTTAATTTTGGCAATACTTTTTTCCTGTGTTTCACAGACTGCTGTGGCTCCCCATTTCTCCGAATAATTTCTCGGATGAAAATACCAGCTTAAAAATAACCCGAGTGCCCTACCCTGGTCCCAGGCAGCAGGCTGCCAGGCAGGAGCATTTACCCTCGAGCTCTTTCCCCAGGGCCAGCCAAATCTGTATCGCTTTGCTCAGTCGCTGCATTCTCCCTCTCGCACCGGGCTGTGGCAAAATGCACTAAGTTTGGAGGAGAGGCCCTGGAGAAAGGCCAGAGCAGCTCGATGAGCTGGAGGAGCGTGAGGTGCAGGACGTGTTGGATGCGTTACCGAGTGATGCAGTCCTCGGCCTGCTTGGGGTTCTGCAGCTTGTGGTAGATGACGGCAGCCACGGCGAGGGGCCCGGCGTCTCCGCACAGGAACGTGATGGATCGCTTCGTCAGGCAGCCCAGGCTCTTCTTCACGTACTCGTGGGCCACCTGGAGATAGGCTGGGTCTCCGTACACATCGTGCAGGTGCAAGTACAGCAAGGCGATGCCTGCAAAAGGAACGTAAGGACTGCAACCATAGGCAAGCTTACCTGTTTCGTCCTTGCCACTACACATCGTGGCTGTTTGGACAAATCTAGAAGCCACCTCTAAGCCTCATGTGGGACAAGTGCCACTTAGGAAGGCTTCTTGGCCACATCCAGAGGTACAACCCAGAGCTGCAGCCTCCACAGCTGCTTTTCCTGCTCTGTGACCTCGCAGTATTTGGTGCTGCTGATGAGCAGGCTGCAGGGCAAGGTGGACAGCGGTGTCTGGCCCACGAGGTCTGGGGCACTGCAGGGCTCCTCAAGCACAGACTGCAGTTCTAGAGGCAGGAGAGCAAATGATGAGGCCTAGAAAGCCCACCTGGAGCTACGAATTGTACATGCAACTTTGTTAAACAGTGAAAAACAACAAGGACAGGAAAGATGGTACTTGGGTAAGAGCAGTGCAGAGGTTTTAGTGGCCTTGAGCCTTTTCCCCATGCCAGAAGCGGAGGGTTGGGTCGCTTCGCTTGGCCAGGTGAGGAGAAAGCAGCATCCTGGAGGCACTTGGCTCCTCTCCTCCCTCCCGCTGGAAGCAACAGCCGGGCAGCTGTAACTCCCTGGACCCCTGAGGCTGCTGAGCAGGACCCAGAGGAGCCTCCTTGGAAAGAAAGGGGCTGCCAGGCTCCCTCATCCTGCCACACTCGGCTTACGAGCTCCCTCGTGTGAAATATGAGCAGCTGCCTGAGAGGCTGGAAAACGCTCCCTGGTCCCGCTGTGATCCTCTCGGTGTGACACCAGGATACAGGGACAACACTGACTGTTCCTAGGCGGTGGCATCAGTGGCTGCCCTCTGACTCTGCCCTGTCTTCATCCTGCTCTTGAAGCTTTAATATGTATTTGAGGAGTCCCCAGCACGTCCTCGTCGGCAGCACTTGCCATATTTGGATCACCCTTGTGATTTATCCTCAGGCGTGCATCAGAGAAGCTACTGGCCTGCATCACTGCCAGAAAAGCTCATCTGCCCTTACCAGAAACTGCTTGTAAGATGACAAGTCCTGCGTTTAAGCCTAAATTATTAGAGGCAATCTCTGCAAGTTTTGATGTAAGAGGAAAAGAAATGAAGGGAGGGAAAGAAAAGCATGCTTCAAAATTATTTTCCATGCTACTGAGGACACTTTTAAATTTAGATCACTTTCTCATTTTGCATGGGTAATCGCCAAAGCTTTGTGCTGCAGACAATTCAATTTCACATGTATATTAAGGGCAAATTTCTATTTCCTGCTGAAGTTAATAACCTTGTCCCTCTCCCTGAGCAGATGAGTGTTAGTGTTTCCAGAGGGCATCTCGGGTGCTTGGTACCATCACTCAGGTTTTTAAGGGGGTGGACACGAAGCTCTTTAAGGGGGAATCCGTCTTTTCCAGCTAGCAAATGTCAAGTCACTCTCCTGGATTCATTTAGCACCTAGCCCAGCCCCTAGACTTCTGCTAGGCCTGACACCTCGAGCGTGCAAGCAGTGCCCAGGCAGCTAGCTGCTCTAATATCCCACTTTTTGCTCTGCCAGTAGCTTCAAGTCCCACTGCCACCCTGCCACCATAATTATGTAGGTAACTACCGTGTCAAGGCTACAGCTAGGAGGGAATTCCAGGGACAGAAACGCTGCAGTGCTGTTTTTCTCCCATGTTGTCTTTGCCATGTGGCTTTTAAAACATCTTTCACCCTCTTTATCCCCAAGCCCAAGCACTCTGGGACAGAGGCCCTTGTGGCAAAGGCTCTGAGAATTCCGGCCTCTCCCAACAGATGACTTAAATGCAGACAGCCAAAATGCTGAACCAGACAATGATGTTGCTGGCTGACTGTCGTGCTGACTTCAGCAACTACCGTCTCCATCAGAGCACTGGAGAGCAGTGGAGCTGCCAGACAGGTTCTTGCAGGAGAGCTAAGGTTGAGCTCTGCAGCTGGCTTAAAAGCAAAGGTGTGTCTTAACTTCCCTTTTGGTGCCAAGTTTAGGCTTGTGCTTGATGTTGGGTTGTGCTTCCCTTGCAAGAAGTTCTGCTGGTGAAAGAAAGCAGTGGGAAACAAAGCTGCTCTTTCCTGGTGCAGGAATACGGGGTGTCAGCTCAGGCACAAATGTGTGCAGATGGGGAGCTGAATGGGATGCCAGGGGATGTATCACCACTTGCTTCAGAACTACCTGGGATTTGCCATTAGGTCTTGCTGCAGCAATCCTTGCTAGTGTGGTGTGGGACACAGGGCATTTCTCAGGCTGCCTTAGCTTCTCCAGATGTAAAACTGGGATAATAAAGCTCCTTTTGTGGAAAACGAAAAACAGAAAAACATTTGTTCTGTAAAAACGCAAAACAAAGCCCAGTCCAAAACAAAACCACTCATAATACCAGAAATCCTGCAATGGTTTAGGCCAGAATGGACCTCTTGATGCAAGCTCCTCTCAACATAATGCCAGCTTCCAACTTGCATTCGATTGCTCAGAGTTTTCTCCAGGACTATCTCCAAGAAGGCAATTTCACAAAACCAACCCACTTGGCAGGCATGTGGCTTACATGGGATGTGGATGGCACAGAGCATTCCTCCCTTCCTCAATGCAGCCTCTGTTCCTCTTGCTCTGTAGGTATTACTTGGGGATTTTTGCTCTTCTCAACAGAATTTGAGGGGCAAGTCCTGAGGTCTGAGCTTTGAGGTTACAACTAAGATATCACACTAAAGCAATCAGAAGATGTTTGGTCAGAAGATTTCTTGGATAGGGTCGGAATTTCTACCCATTCTTAAATATCTTCTCTTGTCCTCTGACAAGGCAGCTCAGCCCTGCTCCTCCTCACCCACCTGAGCCAGCAGCTCTGAGCTGGGACAAGCCACCTGCACTTGCTGGCTTGCTTTGGAAGACCTCGAGCTCTGAAAGCTTGCTGTAGTGCTGGAGAAGAGAATGTCTGCATGGAAAACAAACTCCAGAAGTGCTGCCAGAATATGGAGGAATATGCAACATTCCTTTGTATAACATTTTGCATAGAAGATCACCTCATCATGCAGCAGACTCAGGAAGTAGCTCTGCCATCAGCCCAAGAGGTGACAGCAGTGAAATCTGAGAGACTTTCATTGGTTTTGCACTGCCTGAGCTTCCACTCTCAAGTCTCAGGAGTAGGGCCTTTCACACCGTCAGAAACATCAACACGTGTATGTACTCTTAGCATCCCCACGTTAATCTACGTGAAAATGTATCAGACCCTTGTATTCCTGCCAGGATCTGAACTGCTTCCGATTGAGGACAAGTTTATGGCAGTTTACCTTCCCTCAGTCAATGTTTAGATACAAGTGAAACGGATTTAAACCACAAAGGCTTTTGCAGCAGTCTAGTTAAATTGATTAAAAGACAAAACAGAACACAAGAGCTGAGCCTGGTCTATACCCAAGTGTGGACCAGGCTTGGCCTACACAGCCCTGATGTCTGTGGGAAACTGAATAAGAGCGTAACAAGCTGCTTCAAAGGTGTTTTGGGGGAATTCAGCTTTCCACTGGATAATTTTGATGTGAAGTGTGTTTTTGCTGCCTCTGAGCTGAAAACCTAAGTCCTTCTCTCCGTCTGCTCCAACTTTTTGTGCCGAGAAGCTGTGGCTTCCCTGGCACAAATGCAGGCCAGGGAATCAGGGCTCTCGAGTGTGTTGGGGAAGGAAGCAGGGGAAGAAGAAAAATGCCAGCATATGCTGTGCATTCCTGGGTGTAATGTAGTATGCTGGAGTATTCTACATTTCATGCAGAGCTCGTGCTAAGAGAGCACGTTTCAAACCCCTCTTATTAGCAGCCACAAGAGTGCGGGTTCATTTCAGACTGCTGGGCAATGATTTACATGAGAAGATACTCAACAAGCCTTTTCCACACAAGCAATTAAGGGAAAAAGCTGCTGTCTTGGCCCAATTAATTTCTTCTCTGGAAACCACACTGAATAAATTAATATAGCTCGGATTAGAAGAGAAGGGGGGTGAGAATGATGCAGTGTAATATCTGCAGACTTCTCTTCTCTGGCTGTGGCCTGCAAGAAATGGTTCCATGGGTTTATTTTAATCCCATCGGCCACGGTGACAAGGCTGAATGCACGGGGAAAACCTGATCCCCAGGGAGAAGAGAGGAATCCATCCCTCTGGATTTGGATTTTGGGGATGCTCCTAACAGCAGCCAGTTGTCTTGTTTCCCGCTGAATTCTTATGGCCTGAGGCAGGCTCTGCTGCCACGACAAGCAGCATCCTTGTGTTCGAAGAGCAGCTTCGTGCAGGGAGGGCCCTTCAACCCAGGGGACCCAGAGCACGTGCAGGACCAAACCTGTCTCCGAAGTGGAGATCAGCCAGCACCGAGCAGCAATGCATGAAACCACGGGGAGCAGCACCGCAGCACTGCTGGGCTGTGGGCGAAGCCTCCCACGCTGCGACTGAGCACCGGCAACCGCGGGTTTCTCGTGACACCCTCTGCGCTGCCGCCAGGGCCTCAGTCTGCACTGCAAGGATCTTTAAGCAGCCACTTCTGGCACTCCTCTCATGCTAAGCTGTAACATCAGCTTGGAAAAACTGTGGCTCCAAATGCAAGCCAACCATATGTACATCACAGCGTAGGAAATCACTCCCTGAAAATGCAGTGTTTGGTGACCGAAGAAGAAGAAAAAGCACCACGGAACCCAGAGCAGCAGCCAGGACAGGCACTGCTTGTGAGGCCATTAAGTTGGCAGTCTAGCACTTGCAGCAGTCGTGAGGTCTCTTTCTCCAGGGAGACCCACTGAAAGTCTCCCTAGAGCCTGCCACGGCGCAAAGAGAAGTGGCAGGAGGCTGAAAAGGCCCCCAGCAAGAGGCAGGGATTGTAAGGCAAGGCATGGCAAGTCCTTACTAGCTCCAGAGGGTGGCAACTGGCGAGGGAGAGGCAGGGCACGTTCCCAAGGCAGAAAGCAAAAAGAAAAAAAAGAGCTGAAGATGTAGGATGAGGGGAAAAAAAAGAAAAGCTTCTGGAAGCTTCCCACAGAGAAGTCAGTGTAAGAAAGGCTTCTGCCCCTGGTTTACGGGTGCATTGGGGTATTTGTTCATTCCAGCAGGTCCTGGAGCAGCGGTGCCCCACGGGGGTGAAGCTGCCTCACCCTCGGGAGCGGAGCGGAGCCCTGCAGACGGCACAGCGCAGCACAGGACAACGTCGGCCCGCCGGGAAGAGCAGGGCCGTCACTGCGGGCCCCAGGCCGCCGCTCTGCGAGGGCTCCCTGGGGAGCAGGGGCTGCTGCCCGCCCGCCCGGGCCGCACGGGCCTCCATCCCGCCTGCGCTGCGGGCTGCACGTCCCGCCTGCGCTGCGGGCTGCACGTCCCGCCTGCGCTGCGGGCTGCACGGCGCGTCCGGCCCCCGGCCGGCTCCCGCGGCCTGGGGGCACTTCCACCCGCGAGCTTCACCCGGCAGGGGTTTCGCTCCACAAACCAGCCGAGGCCCAAGCGGGGCCCAAGCGGAGCCCAAGCGGGGCCCAAGCGGAGCCCAAGCGGGGCCCAAGCGGAGCCCAAGCTGGGGCCAAGCGGAGCCCAAGCTGGGGCCAAGCGGAGCCCAAGCTGGGGCCAAGCGGAGCCCAAGCTGGGGCCAAGCGGAGCCCAAGCGGGGCCCAAGCGGGGCCCAAGCGGGGCCCAAGCGGGGCCCAAGCGGAGGCCAAGCGGAGCCCAAGCGGAGGCCAAGCGGGGCCCAAGCGGGGCCCAAGCGGAGGCCAAGCGGAGGCCAAGTGGGGCCCAAGCGGAGGCCAAGTGGGGCCCAAGCGGAGGCCAAGCGGGGCCCAAGCGGAGGCCAAGCGGAGGCCAAGCGGGGCCCAAGCGGAGGCCAAGCTGGGGCCAAGCGGAGGCCAAGCTGGGGCCAAGCGGAGGCCAAGTGGGGCCCAAGCGGAGGCCAAGCGGGGCCCAAGCGGAGCCCAAGCGGAGGCCAAGCGGGGCCCAGGCGGAGCCCAAGCGGAGCCCAAGCGGAGGCCAAGCTGGGGCCAAGCGGAGGCCAAGTGGAGCCCAGGCGGAGCCCAAGCGGAGGCCAAGCGGAGGCCCAGGCCTGCGCGGAGTCCCGCGGCACCGGCCCCTCGGTTCGGTGTGAGCCGGCGCCCCGCGGACACGCGCGGAGGCCGGGCCGGGCGCCCACCTGTCCAGCCCGTGTAGGCCGTGCCGTCGCGCGCATCCGCGGCCCTCACGCCGCGCTCCACCTGCTGCAGCAGCTCCCGGATCTTGTTGTTCAGGCGCTGCGTGAACTCGGGCGTCAGCTGCGGGAGACACCGGCGCGTGAGGCGGGCCCCGCCGCCCCGCCGGGCCCGCGCCCTCGTTTTGGGGTGAAACCGGTGAGTCTGAACGTGGG